CTCTTTCTCTCTTTTTCCCTCTCTTTCTTGAATAGTAGCTTGATTCGCAGTGATGAGATGCCAGGAATTTCTCCGACAGTGGCGAAAGTTTGTTTGCTCCCTGAACTAAGAATCCTATTAAATTAAAAGACGCATCGTGACGAAGCCTCTTCCGACCGTCTTCTGTGACCGATACATTACTCTCATACCGTTCTTTTAATACTCATCAAAGATTGAATTCATTTGTGTTCCTAAACTTTTTAGAAAATCTCTTTCAATTCACCGTACCGTTAATGCTAAGCGATGAGAATAAATTGAAAGTCTTTTCGATCAAAGAAAAGTTTCGCCTCCCGAAACAATAACTTTGCATACAAACTTTGGTAATTAATCTTATACACAGTAAAAAATAAAATGTAAATTATAACATGTCCTACAAAGTTCACTCTAAATTTTAAATTAAATTAACTCATTCGTCGTATGTTACTTATTGAGAAACTAAAAATGTCAAATAATTGACACGATACTTTACATTTATCTTTGCTATTGGGACTTTAAGTGTAATGTAAAAACAACATACAAATTAATTAAAAATTACATGAAAAAATAGTTACAATAACTCGTAAGAAATGTTGAGGACATTAACATGTAATAGTAATTGTTTTAACTTAAATTATTTGTAATAGAAACATTTGATTTTAGTAAATTTGATTATTTTTGTATGTCAAAGTTCAAAATTATTTGAAGATTCACTTTAACTTTTTTTAGAATATTAAATTGACTTTGAGACATATTGATTGTTTCAAATGATTATGTTGAAGACTCAAAATAATATTCCATTTCTAAGAGACATATACAAAGTGTTAAGTTATGAAGATGACATAAATGTAACGCATGAAATTGTTATAAAAATAATAACATATTGGTTGTATGTTAATTTGACATTAAAGTACTAATCAAAACGTGGTAACACAAGAAAATTTTAGCATGTGGACGCACAATTTTTTATTGTGTATTAATTAATAAATTCCTTTCCTTGTTTCTTATTCACATGCGTATGATGTACATATATGTATATATTTGTGTTCTTAATTTTAATGGATTGTTTGATGAAATTGACATGGATCTTTCAATGAAGATTTGAAAAATGACCGCATCAGAAAGAATCTTTTGCTAATTAAAATTTAATATATCCGATTAAATCTTGCGAATCAAGATTCTTAAATTGATTTGGATTTAAGCGAATTTTTTCGCGTCTAGTTCCTAGTAAAATTTAGATGCAATAATTTGTATTTCGAATAATTAAAAAAGATAAATTATATCGCGAGACGCATAAATCGTTTTGATAACGTAAAGCATTATTTCGGGCTTGTCTAAAGATTGAATGCGAACCGAGGCTACGCTCAGCTAATTGATCGTTAAGAGCATCCCCCAACTGAAGCAACCCGGACCGTTTCGCCCGTTTCAAATAGAGACAAGCGCTTCTTTGTTTTCGAACGTGGAATTCTAGCACCGCAAAGCGCCCCTCGAGGGCTCACGGTTTAAGCCGGAAATGCGCGATTCAAGGATTGCCGTTGCAGGTGCGGCCGTTCGTAAAGCTAAACTTCATTTACTTCAACACTCGCCCACAGGCTGCAACCACTCACGAGACGGCCCAATCAAATTAGAAGAGCGTTCAAAGTATCAGCTCCGCTTCCTCGAATAGATTCGACTTCTCAAGACCGATTGCGAGAATAATGGAGCTTATAATTATTGAATTGAGTCGTAAATAATTTTTGACAGCAGTGACTTTTTTTCCGGACGTACATAAGTGACTCGTTAATAATTTACTTTCCATTAATAAATAAGTGTGTCTCTTCTTTTTCAAGTCAGTCATTGCGAAAATGAACATCAGTCACATTAATAAAATAAAGTATTCATTAATTATGATTCAATCACTATACAGTTTATCACAGCGCTGCTACTTCCAATTAATTCTCAATCCATAATATTTTCATCATTTGAAGTAACCTTGGCTTAATGAACGTTAACTTTTCCAATAATTGTCTACGGGAAAAAGCAAATGATTGATCGAGAATGATTGATTTTTAACTTGAAATTTTCTATTCTATATATCTATATAGAAGCTTGTAATAAAATGTAAAATTTAAAAAGGGAATAATATTTTTAAAGATGGAATTATTTATTAAATTAATTTATTGAATTAATTTATTAATTTATTAAAATTAAAAAATTTATTATTTATTAAATTATTTCGAATACAGGGCATATTTTAAGGCATTAATTGAACAGCTTATGGAGGATCTTGAATAAATAAATAATAATTTCGAATGATTAGGTAGGCAATCTTAACTTGAGAATAATAAAAGAGTGAAAGTAATTATTGAGGCTTTCTGAAATCTGGAGCTAGAGATTTATTAAAAGTATGTACATATACAAGTCAATATAAATTTATGTTATCGCGTGGAAATTCTGAATATTTTCACCATTCATCGCGTACCGCGCATTCTTTGTAGTAATCGACTCGCCGGATCGTAAATTAGTAAATGGATCCTGCAATTTTAACGCACTCTCTCCGTGCATGTCCGCGGGCATTATTTCCTCTGCACTTTTTTTGACCGACGACAGGCGCGACGTTTCGTTAACTATACAAACGTGGAAAATTCGAAGCCGCGCGCGAATGAAATTTGCGCGAATGTGACTTGTACTTGCCGGTGATTATTCCGCGACAATAATAAGCCGGAATATTCACGAACGTAGCAAATGATAAATAAAAATGAGAAGTTTTTTTAAATATATGCTCGTGAATACAGTGAAATGAGTCGTCATTTTTACGATGAGTGAAATACAAGAGACGTTGCTTATATATTTCCTTCAAATCAACGTCAAATAAAGATTGACGTAAATTATATTTCGCAAATCTATTATTAATATATCGATGTAAAATAACGATGTTATAAATCAACACATTTAAAAATAATCGATTTTTATTTGCTTTTTTTGAATGAATATTTTGATGAGAAAGTTTACGATTTTATTTATATTTTATTTTATTTATATTTTTTCGATAAAAAATGGAAATTAAAATACGAAACAACGAAACTGGAACTTTGCACGATATCGTCGTTCTAAATGGACCGTGATTAGTCGGTTCGTCGTGTGCGCGCATTCCCTTCGGACCACAGCAATTTCTTCTATTCATTAGAACACCCCATAGTGGGCAACATGCCACACATGTGAGCGAGCGACCAAGGCGACCGAGATAACTGGAAATGGCGTTTGGGAATCGCATGGAATTGTAGCTTGTTTATACATTCTCGTTAACCCTGGAATCTCTTGCGGAATTCTTAAATTACAGCGAAATTCTGCGCTGTATAAAATCAGAATAATAGAAAAGTAGGGAATTATATAAAATTAAAAATAGAGAATTATATTACATGTAATAAAATGAAGGCGCCATTGCTTTATTAAGATATAAAAATACATTGAATAACGATGGAATTTCGATTTACTATGATTGACTCATGACTGAAATTTCCTCGATCTTAGCAGGACGTATACTTGTCAGTGATGGTTCAATTATTATTTTTAATTTAATAATCTTATTAAAAAATATATTTAGTAAATATAATATTAATGTAAATCAAACGTTATATATATATATATAAGAAAAACTTCATCATAATTTTCTTTCTTTAATATCTTTGATTGGACATTTAATTTCGCTTCAATAAGAAAATTTTTAATATTATATACATGGATATATATATATATGTATATATATATATATATATATATATATCCATGTATAATATTAAAAATTTTCTTATTGAAGCGAAATTAAAGGTCCAATCAAAGATATTAAAGAAAGAAAATTATGATGAAGTTTTTCTAGTCTTTTTTTCGATTTAATTTTATTCAAATCAGTGATATTTTGATAAATAGATAAGACGGTTTCACGTTCATTTGGAACGTTAAGAGTTTTAAGTTTTCGATACAATTGATTTCGTTATGATTTTTCCACATAATGATACGATGATGACAGAAATCGCGATTTCGATCACGGGACTAAGGCCGTAGCAAGGCCGCCGCGCAGTCGCGCGATTCTCTTTCCTCCACCCTCTCTCTATCTCTCTCTCTTTCTCCCTGTCATTCTTCCTCCTTATCGCACACGTGTCTCGCCGCGATAAACTGCCGCGTCAGGCAGCGGCGCATCGTACTACGTCGCGTAGTAGGCCGTAGTACGCGACCTTCCCCCTCTCCCGCCATTCATTCATGAATGACGAAGCGCAGCGGAACTTTTCGCGCTGCAATCTGCCGGGAAATCGACGTAGAGACGCGGGACAAAGGACGGCTTTGCCGTGTTCGCGTTCACGTTTACGCCTATCTCTCAAGTACCCTCAAAATAACGCGCGTATACGTTTGTTCGTGGCATATAAAGGGAACAATGTAGCGTGTACGAGACGCGCCGGAATTGCTAGATAAGTTTCGAAGAGAGAAACAGCGCGCAAACTCGAGAACAGTTATTCTCCTCGTATCGACAACCGCGGCAAAAAAAGAACAAAGAGGAAGAGTCGAACTCTTTCCTCTCGTTCGCACATTTTCAATACTATTTGCAGGGTATCCCAAGTTAAATATTATATATTATATTAATTATTAATATATTAATTATTAAATATATTATATAATTACATATATTTTATATATATATATATATATATATATATAAATTATTATAATATATTAATTATTAATTATGAATATATTATAAACTCACGTATACAGACATATTTTATTGCTTCAGCGCAAAATTCTCTTTCTCCGACAGCCGCCTCATGTCGCAATCTCTAAAATATCACACGCCCCATGAACCCGTATGCTGTAATAGAGTTCAAACAACGGTCGAGAAATCTCCGTTTCTCGTATGATGGTCCGAAAGAGATACCTGACATTGTATTAAACCCGTTGAGCCGTGGGAAACTCGACCTAAGAAAACACGCTGTATGCACGCTCCCTTTTCGCAGACGATGGCAGGCCGTTAAATGGCGCCGTTAATTCCGAGGCCCGCTGGTCGTCCAGCGCCCTGGAGATTCGTGAGACCCCGGTAGCGGGTAAACACGCCGTCGCAGCCACGGAGATACATCCGGGCGATACTCTGATAGTCGAGCCACCGCTAGCGGGCTGTCTCCTACCCGAGTTCTACGGCACCCATTGTCAGCATTGTTACGCGAGGTGAGGAGAAAATTGCCGCCTCCGGTCTCCCGAATTTAATGGGTATGATCCTTGGACGGCGGCGCCCGCTGTAATCCTCCTCCGCGTGTAGCTTCCGCTTTGTCTACGGCCCCCGACCCGTGGTAAGCCCTACCGTCACGTTATCCGCGGCTTTTTACGGATAAACTCACCGGCGAGAAAGAGAAAATGGATTTCATTAACCCGAGCCAACGGACAACGTATGCGGACGGAAACTCCGTTATTACGCATGCTAACCAAGCTATACGAAAAGTCGCGAGACAACGTAAATATTTAAAAATATTTATTATAAAAAACGTGAAAAAAGAGCCTCTCGATTTCCAGAAAACATTATTTTAAATATTCTTTTAAATATTTTTATACACTTTAAATTTACTATTTATTCATAAAGTGATTTGTTTGTTAGATCTGCGTTTGTAGATTGTAAAATTGTTAATCGATAGGTTTAAACTTATCTGGATTGAATCTCGTCGCATTCGCGCGCGGAAAAAGTTTTTGCGCTCAGTTTTTATTCGTCAATTTACATAATTCACTCCCACGGCTAACCCCATTTTTCCTTCGATCGATTTACGAATATCCGGGAAATTTTTAGACTGAAAGCGCCGATCGGATGCTCGAATTGCAGCTGTGTCGCTTTCTGCGGGAGGAAATGCAGGGACATTGCGATGGCGACGTATCACAAGTACGAGTGTAAAATACTTGCATTATTGATAGGTAAGGATATAAACAAATGCATTATATAATATTATCGTTATAAACTATTGTAGATATTTCATAATATTTTTTTTTGATAAACATTACGATATTTCTCTTTGAAACTGGAAATAATTTTCTGCTTATTCAAGTTTAATTAAACGCCATAATTTTCGCAATATTTGACATCTCTTAAGATTAGTAATCACAATATTTTTATAATAAAAATGTTCTATAAGAAAGTTTATCAAAAATTGGTCGAAATTTTTTCATCTTTAATGTTAGCTAAAAATTATTGATATTTTATTAAAAGATATCGTGTATCAAATTTGCTCGATACAATAATTGAAATCAAATCGACAATATAATAATTAATATATGAAATAATGAGTTTTATTAATTTCTCGAAAGAAAGGCATTCATTTCGGCAAATAAAAGCTCCATCTTATACGCGCACTTGGCATATCTTGAGTGTCATAACCGAGACTCTTACAGGGTAATTATGAGTCACTCTTGAATTCCCTCCTTCAGGCTCTGGCATGAGTGTACTCAGCATGGTCGCTTTTCGAATGGTGACGCAGGAGGGCCTGCGAAAGTGTTTGAAGATCTACGAAGAGTTGAAGAACAGTGGCAGCGAAAAAGCCGCGACGTCTACAACGACAATGCCGACAACAACGATGACAACAACAACGATGACGACGACGATGATATCAGATACGCATGATGCAAAATCGCCAGCAAACAGTCGGTCGGCCAAAAGAAGAATCAGACGGAAGAAGCTGCAGGAATCTAGACGAAGTGAGGGCAAAATCGAGAAGAAAGACGGGGAGAACACAAAGGAGTCCCATAAGAGCGACAACGACAATGTCGACATGACGGCTTACAATCTGGTGACGCACGCGAATAAGAGGACGAAGAAGGACTTCTTAGAGAGATCGCTGATGGCGGCCTTCCTGCTCAGATGCCTACAGAGAGTCGGTTTCTTCGCACATCCCACATCGGACGACGGTACTCATCATCGGCATTTAATCTTGCAACGGATTTCTCCTTTTCTCCTCCCCTTTCGGCTGTATTTAACTTGGAAATAATAGGAAAAAATGTGCTTGCTCGCGCGGAGGACCAACTTTCGATTCAGCAAATTCTTCGCTCGCGAGCCATGAAGCCGTAATTTTAACAACGCTCAGCGGAAAGAGTCGCGGAAAGTTTTTGCCGAGAAGCCGAGAAGGGTGGAAAAAGCAGGAGAAGAGAGTGGGAAGAATGCACAGAACGCAGGGAGCTACACTAATATCGGAAACTTTGGCGAGTTCGCAGAGGTCCCGGGCGCCGAGGAGATCATCGTGGCCGCCCTGCTGCTGAGGAACTTGCAGCTGCTCCAATTCAACGCCCACGAGTTCTTCGAGACGCGGTTAAGCGCGGGGCATCGATTTCGCGGCAGCCGCCCCGTCTACCTCGGGGTGGCGATTTATCCCACGGTCGCTCGCTTCAATCATGATTGCTATCCCGCGGTGACGAGGTAAGTAAAAGGAAGAAAAAGCGAGCTAAAATAATTCTCTCACGCATACAAAGATACCTCTTAGGAATTCTCAGGAGAATTAATCTTTCAAATATAAAAATTGGGAATCTAATTTTGAAATTGTTACGAATAATTGATCATTATCCTTGCGAAATCAAATATAAAAATTGGGAATCTAATTTTGAAATTGTTACGAATAATTGATCATTATCCTTGCGAAATCAAATATCTCCGTGGAAACGTTCTCTTTATATGTATATAAAATATTTTATTACAACTTTTCTCATATACACACACGCAAATATACGAAATGCACGCAGTTTCGCCGAACTTTGTGCTCTGGCAAGCGTGCGTGACTCGTCTTCATTTACATATTAATAACGTGGTCGCGTAAAAGAATAGACTACCACGGTAGACGGGAGCTAATTAGTATAACCAGGCGGTACACAATCGCCTGGTGTCATCGCGCGAATTATTAATCGACCCGCGACCGCCCATAGTCTGTTAAACGAACTTCTTCCGGAGTCCTTCAACAACTTCGCGCACTTTGTTAGCAGAAAACCTTTATTCTTCATCTAAATAAATCTTTTAATTCTCTCCCCAAGTTTATATCTCTGTGAGAGCACCTCAAGAAAATGGACAAGATTTTAAGTAAAATAATCTGCGTGGTTATTTAAGTAAAATATGTTAGAAATTTGTCAAAGCTTTGTAGTTGTAAAATGATTATTCGTTATCAACAGAATTTCCAATTTGTTTCTGATTAAGTTAATTTAAATAACATGTATAATTAGAGTTAAGATGTTAATATCCTCTCCTAGAGAATATTATATGTACAGATATATAATCGCGAGATTTCTACCGAGGTATCTATTAACGCTAATTAAGTATGTGGATTTGCGTGTATTTCGGGCAGCACTAAAGCGCGTTTGTGATGACTTCGTGGGTCGCGGCCATTATACGCGAAATTACACCAGCGCGCTCATTATTCGGTAATGTCACAAACTCGTCTGCGTTAGTCGGTGCAGGCGGAATTGTTCACATTATTAATGTCGCCGGAGCTATTGTGATGATTACGATTATTATTTTATGACGAAGTAATTGCGTCGTCCTCTCTCTTTTTCGATTTATTAAATTGTATACCAGCTTAACACTTTCCTCTCTCGGACAACGACTTTTAATACCGAACACTGTGTATCTAATATTTAACTAAAAAATTAATTTATACTAAATTTATAACAACTAAATATTTAACTATAAAAAATACCTAAGTAACGAAAAGCAGAAAAAAATCAAAATGTATAATTATATGTGTTATAAAAAATTATTATTATATTAAATTATTATCATATTATTATTATATTAAAAATGTATAAGCTGCCTTAAAATAACTTGCTTGATGGAGGAAACATAAAATATTGTTACTTAAGAATTGTTAAAAATTATATGAAAATGATATAAATTAATTTGTAATTCGCAGTTTACCGTATATTAAGACAAGACTCGACAGTGTATTCATATTACCACATCAACGTACTTTAATTAACGAGAGAGAATTATCCTCTTTTTGTCGGATCGCAGATACTTCGTCGGCCGACATATCGTAATAAGAGCAATTCGCGGTTTACGGCCCGGCGACGTTATTGCTGAAAACTACGGACCGATATTCACGAAGAGAACTCTTGCCGAGCGTCAAAGGACACTAGCAGGAAGGTATTGGTTCCGATGCTCATGCAGGGCCTGCCAAGAGGACTGGCCGCGCTTTGAGACTCTGACGAACGATTCCGTCAGGTTGAGGTAAGTCCGTTTAAATTCTCCGACATCAAGCTCGCACATTAACAAGGTATAATTTGATTTAATTTAATGAAAGATCTTATCGGTGCTTTCTTCCATCTATATTCCAAGTTTCTAACTGTGCGCGTATCTTTAACGACAGACTAGCAAAGTAATATCGATCTAGAATAAAATAGTATAATTTACCAACGACATCCTTAACGATTCGTGTGCAATGCGGTTTTTAATTAACAACTAACATTAATTTCTTTGCGTTATCCATTCAAGGATCTGTTAAATTAAGTGTCTCCTGAAGAAAAATGAAGAAACATTAAATTATGATAACGAATAAAAACATAGGGATGGCAACAAGAAAATAAGCGATCGAGAGAGAGAAAGTAAACAGATGTTTGTCGAGATCGTTAAAAACCGCAAGTCCTGACGAGGTGAGCGCCTCAAAGAGACGAAATGTCGGTGCCATAAGGATGCTCTTGTCGTCAAAGGTACTTTAGTGTTCGTTCAGCGTAAGATTCTTATCTCTACCAACTCCAACGACACGACCAGGTGCTTTTATCAGTTTCGCGGTAATTTTCTGATAGTAGCATTACTCGTTACGTTTAATGTCTTTTACGTCAACAACAACAAACGCATGTCTGTATAGGTGAGTCGACATTTCTCTTTTGGAGAAATAAATCACAAGAAGCTCTCTTTGAGGACGTCTCACCGAACAAAAGTTCAATTATAAGTAATTATTTCTTCATCACATTAACTCAAAATTTTTTAAGCATATGTTTTCACTCTATATTGTTGCAGTTTTTTGGGGAGATGATTTAATAATTTTTAAGACGTTGCGTTTCTTCGCGTCTTTCTGATTTAACGTTTTATCCTTGATTATACGTCAAAACATTTGCCATTAAACAAAATTCTTTAAATTCATGTAGACTTTATTTTAACTTGTAATGACTGATAACTTAATTATACAAAGATATATCATACAAATATTCAAAAATATGCAATAACTTTTTTGACGATTTTCCGCATGAAAAAATCAAATCAAAGAATCTAAGAATCATTAAAAGAATTTCTAATTCTATGTAAAAGATAGAATCAACGAGAAATTATAATAGGGATTAAAAAGTTACATTAATATTTAAAGCCATTCTTATCGTATTTTCGATATAGAAATAACTTTGCAAAATCAATTTTCACGAAACGAGAATATACTTCAAATCTTCTGACATCAACTGTTCTTTAACGATCCAACTTTTATCGATGTAATGAAAATCTTCGAGACAAGAAAATATTCTTTCGACTTTTTTCCTGCAGATGCCCTACAACAGGATGCAACGGACTACATTCACGACCGCAGCAACGGCCAGATAAGCCGATAAAATGTTCGGCTTGTCAAAAGAAAGTCTGCTTGGAAGATCAGCTCGCGTGCTTGCAAGAGTGCGAGACGTTCTACACTCGCGGATTGGCCAGTATGGAGGATGAAAGGGTCGATGAGGCGATTGGGACGCTGTGCGACGCCTTGAAGAGATTCCACCGAGTCGCCTGTCCACCGCATCGAGACACCCACCTGGCCGAAATTGCTTTAAGCTCCTGTCTGATTGACTACGGGAATACTTGGAGACCAGCTGCGCTTTGAACGCCTGGAGAAGAAAAAGGAAGCTGACTGCCGTAATCTCGATGAATCCGTGCCAGATGACCGCGGCAGCGAACATGTCTTTCGAATAAAAGACGAGGGTGTTTGTGATCCTTTAAGTCCATAGATACCTTGTAGTCGGGCTAATTTACTCAATGTACATTGATATTTTAAGACATATGGTATATACTTCGTTAATATTCTAAATAATTTTTCAGACAAAAATTGATAAAACTCAAAGAAAGTAAAAGTAATTTACGTGTGCTTTCTTCTATAATAATTTATATAATATCTTAATTTTGTTGATTGACTTTAAAAAGTTGAAATAATGATATTTTACTGAAAATATCAAAATTAATCAAATTTAGCAATATTTTATTTTTTTTTAATATAACTAATCAAAACAGTTATATATACATAATATTTGATCCTTGATTGGTTTTTTCAGATTACAACCATTGTGATCAAATTTGAGAAACGCAAGAGAAACGTTATCCTTATTACCTTTATAAAATGGAGATCGGTCCTAAGTAACTCAATAAAACTCTCTGCGGGAAAATAGAACAAAAAGATGTTGCCCGCAGCGTCCTATAATTTGCACGTACATACATCGTTCTATCTTTGGCCGACTAATATCATGATATACACAAGAAATAAATGATGATAAATAATATTGCGAGCGCGAATCTGCTGTGCGCAAGTTAGGTATCGATATCGGGAAATTAGAGGCCGAGGCGTTTACTGAGGCGTCGACCTGAAAGTCAACTTTTTTAATTTCGCCTGCACACAGAGCACAGGCAATCAATCGGTTCATCCGAGATCTCTCTTGATTGCTTTCACTGTGTATGTATGTATATGTGCACGATGTATCGTATCTCTGTCTGTGAAAACATACGATCGAGAGATTCTTTATAAGTCGAACACGATTTTCTCCTACGTCTCATCCTCGTTCTCATCCTCGTTTACGAAAAGCATGGAATTTTGCCAATCTTAATGTCTGTTTAGGTATCTTGTCACGCCATTTAAACAATTGTATAAAATGATACAATAAATTAAATAAGAGATTGTTGAAATTATAATAAACTAAGAAAAGAAAAATTATAAAAATAAATAATGGTTTTTTCTTTGAGATGAAAGAAATAAAATAATGGTTTTTTTCCCGTTTGAAATATACAGACGATGCTTTCGCGTGATATACTAGTATATTTACCATCGCATGTGGCAAAAATGCATACAAACTGCCGGATTTATATAGTGGTTGCGTGCTCACGTATTGTATAATATATATTCGGATTAAAGGGTTTCAAATCCGACACAACCCGTTAACCCTCTTTCAACGTTTGACACAGAAGAGAAATGTGTTAGCGACAATTGTGTTAGCTGCCTTATAACGGCATGTTAAGCCGTTATTTCCGAAAGTGCACCGAAAATACGCTAAATGCGCTCTAGCGATTTTCAATCTTGAAATTCTTTTTGTATATATATTTTCACGTATAAAATATAAATATAAAATATTATATCGAGTGTACGTTGTTTTCAAATATGGTTCGATGCTATTGATATTTATATTCCCTCTCTCTGCAAACTATAAACGTTAACTCTATATTAACGTTTTATTTTTTTTTTTAGTTTATTCACCGATAACTTGATCAGATTAATATGTATTTTTTATTTACATATGAAAATGAATTTTAAAATAGCAACGTACAGAAATATAGGTTGTTTAATTTTTATATTTTTTCGACGATTAATAAGAGAAACATATCTTTTTATTTAGCAGAAAATTTGAATTACCCAGCATCAGTTTTCAAAATTAAGCATTTTTGGCGTATCCTGAATATCGAGATAAAGATTTCCTGGAGAAAACTTGTAAATTCAGTGAAAAGTTTCTGTGTGCAAGTTTAAAAGCAGATTTCGATATCAAAAGCAGCGTATCTCTCCAGGTAATGCATTTCGCTGCAGAGAAATAAAAATTTAAACGTATCACGTTAAATTATATTCGAATATCATTCGATGTGCGACCTGTGTAATTTATGATTCATAATAATGAATCTGTAATATCAGAGCCGAATCCGTTGTGTCAATTATGGTGCCAGCTATAGTTATTGCTGATCGTTGCTGTACGAGAGATTAACGCCAGGATGGAAAATTAATTTATATACCCCGCGAAAGGTGATTAAGTGCTGCCGTAATGCCGGTATTATTGGAAATTCTCCATGACGGGAATGCATTATACCTATAACTTCTCTCTCAGCTCCGATCAACTTCGTCGCGTGAAATTATGCGTACACAAAATGTATGTACGTATAAGTTCATCGAGAGGAGACTCGCCAAATTCATTACCTCGAAAATTCCTATTCTAAACGGAACAATAAATATTTACAATATATATTAATAAATAACAAAGATTAAATATTCAATTCATATTCGGTTTAGCAAATTTACAATATTCAGATCATGCCGTTCTATGTAAAGTATTCTGCAAATGTCGGATTTTTATAAAAAGATAAATTAATACGGAATAATAAATGAATAAATTTTATCAAAATATTTACACATATTTCAACTATTAATTTAATTTAAAATTATATTTCTTTCATCAGTTGATATTTTCATTTTATTCAACTTAATCAATCGTAATCGTTATTAAATAAAATTAAGAATTCTTCGTTAATATTTATATAATATTGGATTACTCTCTAAATTTTTGTTTTGTTTACACAGACGATATTCAATAGGAGACAACATGGGGAGTAAACAAGGGAGCGAGATAAAACGCATATTTGGTTTCATTAACTTTTGCAATTTTTTTGGTAGATTTATTTTTTATAATGCACATGTTTCTCGTGAAAAAATTAAATTCCGTGTATGAAATTAGCATTTAGAGCTTCACGTTTCGGTACAAAATTCATTGTGTGTAGAGGAAGGGCAGTCGACGGACGACTGTTATACTCGGGACACGCTCGGACGACGACGACGACGTCGTCGTGTCCGGTGTTCGTCGAGGTCTTTTGATAGATTTTCTCTTCGTTTTTTTTCTTTGTCTCTCGAAAGTTGAACGTCTCCTCGATCGGGATTTCGGTTCTTTTTCCCCTGTTTTTACCTTCTCTATTTTTCGTTCACATCGCCATATATATAATTCGAGTATCGCCTTTACTCGCGTGAAACCCGAATCGGATCTAATTGACTGTCGCGACGTGATACTCTTTTTTTTTTATTGCGATTATTTTCCTTGATAGACATACAATGCGAATGCACGACGGGAATTTCGAGCGAAAAAAGGGAGGTGTCACAGCTTCCCTTCTTTCCCGAAAATTCTCCCTGAGCAAGGATAAATTTCTCACTATCTTTTCTCGATAGGTGATAAGTTAAGTTTTTTTTCCGACGAGAGGAGAGAACCGAAAAGTGCCAATGACAATCGCGAAATGCGGCAATACCGGCCATTAATTCGCAAAAACATTTACGGAGGCTCGTAAAATTCGGACGCGAAAGAAATCTGCATACGACCCGACGCTTCGTATGTTAAATAATTTCGATATTCGTCTCCGATCGTGAAAAAGTATTCGGCATACAAAGAACCGGCTTATGGAGATTGTGTGTCTCGTGCAAAATTCCGCTACTTTCCCCGCGAACGTTCGAAAACTAATGGACCGCGCGCGATGCGTATCGAATTTTTTCCCCGCCAACTTTTCGTGTCGCCCGATCGTAAGCCGTCTCTCAACTTTTGCAACGAATATAACGCACATGACCGTTTCACGACCGATCGCGATTGACTGGCGGCTGTGCCGAAAAAAATGTTTCGACGACAGCGATAATCCGAACGACGAAGCACAAACTGTGCGAGAGATTTTCTCGGTTACTGTCTTAGGTACCGTTTTTTTTTCTTTTTTTTTTTATACGTATAAGTTTAACTGCTGGATTTTTCTCGTCGTTATTCTGTTTCTTTCATTTTGGCTTTACGACTTTTATCGCTTTAACTCTGATATTCACTGTTAACACATGCATTGTTCTTTTTTTGCAGTTACAATCGCGCGCCCGTTCGGCGCGCTGCTTCAAGTTTTTGTTTGTTTCGCGCCTCTCTGGTGTCTCGAGAGGCCGGTCTCTCTTGTGTGGATTCTTTTTTTTTTGTTTTATTTCTTTCTACCGTGTTTTTTTCGTGGGAACGCGCGGTTACGTTAGACAACGGAGGGTGATTACGTTAAACAAAACGCGGCCCGAAGAGTCGCCGGGATTTTGTCCCAACGGACGCGGATTGCAATTTAATAGAAAAGCGGGAAACGCGAGGGACGCGTATGCGTCGATCGATAAATCTCGCGTCCGCTGGGTTCTTTCTTACGGGATCGAATGAAAAGAATTTCGGCGACCATCGATGCGACATTCTCGGGCGATTTGCTTCGATTATTTTCTTTTTTTTTTTCAACAGTTGTAAAAGTGTAAACAACGCGCACGAAACCGCGTAACGTAACCGCGCGTTTATCTCTCTCCACTTGGCACCACACTCACGCACACACATTATTTCTCTTCATCTTATTACCCTTAAACCGCTTCGCTTACCCTAAACCAATCGGATGTTTCATATTTCTCAAATATCAATATTCTTCCGTCTTTCCGATTTTTGCTACACAAATAAAGATATTATGCAATTTTACAAAGACACACTTGGATTGCGGCTTGACAAAGCTACTTTACAAACGACGGGAGATACGATAGGATAGTGAAACAATTAAAAACGATCATCGTGATGTATAGGATAATATCTTGGGCGGAATTATTCTGCTGGCGCCTAGGGGGCAAAATATATTCGCGAATAAGGATTTTAAATATCTATTTGCTTAATGCATTGACGTGTATAAAAGATGCACGCTAATACATTTCTTGTGCGAAAATATGTATATTCTGTGTATATATTTTATATACGCTAATACATTCATATTCGACATCTTTTATATCGCGAATATATTTTGTGCAATACTCATCGTTTTTTGATCGACGGGCACAGACGACGGAAACAATAATATCGTATGATATAAGCTACACCCAAGCGACACGAAGATGTTTGAAAGATGTCTCTTCTTATGCATCTTCGTGATTTCGCAGACTTTCGTGTGTCACCTGGATATAGACTTTAAATGGAAAAGAAATAGAAATACAAGAACTTCACAAGAAACTCACAATAAAAATTCAAGAAAAAATTTCACCAAATATAAAGAATAATTTTGTTCTTTTTTTTTTTAACAGAAGGTAGACGTATATTTCTTTTATTATCCGTCGACGATACTACAAACTAAAATTTTAAAAATTATTTTCATGCAAAATTATATAAAGTATGTTTTCTCTCTCTCTTATTCTCTCTCTCTCCTTTGTACTCTCATGACAATCCATGTTATTCGTATCGTCAATCGAGCCGATGTGTGTGATACGCCCGGCTCTTGTTTCGAAAAGTCAAATCGAGTCGATTGCCCTATGCAAACGTTCAATGGTTTAATAAAAAAACGACTTGCTCGGTACAAATTGTCGACCGATGTCAATTTTAGAAACGACCGGACGATTTACTCACGCTGTAGACACTACCTGATTAATCGCGAATTAGGACACGAAAGTTCGTCAAGTTCCTGCTCCAAAATTCATATCGATAATACAAACAATAATCGGAAGGAGAACAAAAGTATCCGAGGTGTATCGTATGGCGCGAAAGTTTGCGAGATGTTACGAGATGAATCTTTTTCATTCAGGCTGCAAGCATCGCTGACATCAAGCTTGGACGCATTAAAGGGCGACTAAATTAATTGTTTTTCTCAATGACACGCTGTAGATACTTCTATCTGATCAGTATTCTCCTTATTAGTCCTATTACTATTTGCATTATCGGATATGGATGCATTTTTGAGTAGGCGGAACCTCACAAACTTTCGCTCGAAACGCGCCCTAATTCCCGATTAATCAATAATGTGTAAAGTCAAAACAACAATAATCGTTAATGAATTGTACACTGCGGGACCCGCCAGGGGCCAGTATTGACAATTATAAAAAATATGGCCAAGATAAATGCTATTACAATAATCGTTTCTACGTGTAATAAATTGCTTATAAAGTATAAGAAAATTGACATAACCGCATCATCATAATTTTACTTTGCATCGATCAATAAGCGTGTGGCGTAAATACGGGATAATTTTGAGAACCATACTTCAAAATTGTTGTACTGTATACTTGTGCTATACACTTGTCGACCAACGCCAGGTAAAATTGCGCCCAAAAAAAAGCGAAAGCAATACGGTAGTCCACCAATTTCAATATATAAGCCGAAAATAAACGAATGATTTCGAGACGGACAAAAATTCGAGTGGTACTCCGTTCAATATCAATCGATTTGTCTTTCGATGAAAAAGTCGCCAAAAGTGAAGAAAACTCTCGGAAATATAGCAATAAACTCAAATATCGTACATGAAACGATTTGTAATGCGTCCGGAGAAAAATCAGAAGTAATGTATGAAACAAGAAATACACAAAAAAACAAAAAAAACAAAGTATATGTATATATTTATATCTCTTGCCCGCGCTCGAATTCATCTCGCTCCGTACTCCGTAATTGCTTTACTCTTTGTTTTTATCTTATTCTTATTCGATTAACCGTCGTACAACGTTGCAATCATTACGCGGTTTAATTACCCTTGATTAAATCATTTAAAAGAATCGTTTAGAGTCGCGAAGAATTTCATCTTCGCATCTCTATCGTTTCTTCAACATTATTCACTGTGCGTGAAAATTTCGAAAGTACAAAAAAACAAAAGTTTTACTTCGCTCAAAAGGTGAAATTTGATTTCCGCACATTCCCTAATCAACGCACATTCTTCGTTTTTTCTTCATACATATCTTAATCATAATTTGCGAGAGTGTGGAGTAGTGTTTGTTGATTTCTTATATTTTTTTTTCTTTTTTATTTTTTTGGATTTTTTTTGCAATTGTTTTATTGTTGTTGATATTGTTGTGGTGTGTATAACGGGTGTTGGTGTTATATATTAAAAGGAGTGTCCTCTCTTACGGTAGTAGCGCGTTATTCTCTCTCGGTTAAGCGGTACTTTCAGTGGTGGTGTTTTGCACCGGTTGGCTCTCCTGTAAATATATAGATACATGGAACATTAAACAAACGTAGCAAAGCTGCAAGAACAATATATTATAATGGCAGTAATTATGCAACGCGTGCTAAAAATATATATCTTTGCTTTCGTACGTCTTTTATGATGCTGCGTAAGAAAAAAATGCAATTCTTTCTGGGAGATAACGAGAACAAAAGTAAGAAAGTCCAGAAATAGCGCAAGGAAAATAAATCTTAACGTCTACTTTGTCGATCACACCTAATGCTTCAAAGTGTAAGTGCGTAAGAACTGCGATAACCGAGATGAGCTCCTGCAAGATCGAGAAAAGAGAATATAAAGCGCCGTTTACCTGTGGAGCAGGGGCCACGGCAGGTGCATCTGAATCTTTAGGTGCATCCGACTTCTGCTCCGACTGAAAAGAGTACAAAAAGACACGTGCAAACAGTGTGTGCTAAGCACTACGGCTCTGTATTCGTCGATAGATTGCGCGTGTTCAGAGACTCATAATTAAAAGCTTTCGTAATGTCGAATGAAGATAAAAGCTCGTGACTACTGATTTATTATTCCAACATTTCGTACAAATATCAAGATTTGATAGTACAACTTTTGATTATGATTCATTCTTAAAGTGTCTTGTCGAGAATGCAAAGAAAAGAAAAATAAATATAAGCAATCGATTGATTAGATCTACAGAAATTTGTATTTATAGATGTAGTACATAGATGAAAATAATTAATTAATAATGTTAATGATGTAGATTTTAAAGCAAGCGAAGTGTTTTTTCATGGAGATGTATTTTCACGTGTACTTTATAAAATTATATGCAAATGTATGTAAGTTAAATTCATAAAATCGTCAGTTTATTTTTCACAAAGAATCCATAAAGAGGTTAAAATATGTTTATTAATGGATATTGTCTTGAGTAACAAAGAGGGAAAAATACCTTGGTGGATTTATCATAAGATTCAGGAGGAATATCGATGACTTGTGATCGAAGGGAAGTCACGGAGGAAGAAGTGGGATTGGGGGACTTGCGATTTGTCCCCGAGGATGGCAAGTTTTCTAATCTGTTTGTCTGTTGGCTCGAAGTCGCACGTGGTCGTCGTATTAATCGTCGTCTGTAACGTGGTCGTGGATTTCTTTGCGAATTATCCACATTCTCGCCAATAGCCTCGGTGTCGTCCGTTACCTAATTTTTTTTTACATTTAATTTTTATAACAGCTATCCGAGTATTTTGACGATCACAGAAATTTTGTCGGCGGCTGAAATATATATCTGCTTTATTTTTACGAAGTGCACAAAGTGAAACGGAAATCGTTAACAAACAACGCAGAACACATACTCCGTGCTTGAATAAATGCATCGTCTATTACACAAGGAGAGGGATATTACGGAATCTATGTATCCTTGCTAAATATATAAACATAATTTCTAGGAGTGAAGGAGTGCATTTAAGCCAAACACAATATTTTTGTATAAATAGTAATTTTTTTATGATAATAAGGATACTATACTGTGCAAATTTAAACAACCAAGTTCAGATTTGAAACTTGGTTCATTATTTATACCAAAAATACAAAATTGAAATGCGCGTTCAAATTTATCAATTATCGTGTAATGATACATAGCACTGTGCTGTTGGAAAAAAATGATAAAAAGACAATATCATTTAGGCGCAAGCAGTCGAGGATACAGTGAATCTTTAAGTGAAATGTGTTTAGTGTAATAGAAATTATACATCAAAACCATTTAAATAGATTGATAGTTAAAGGTGTTAAAAGGTGTATAAGGAATATATCATCTAAAATTCCGAGCTTAAGTATCTCGAAATGCTTTGATGATAAAGAAAGAATGATCGCTAAAGAATATAATTCAAACATATATTTTCTCCGAGAAACCGTTCTCGTATCTTTTATTTATTTTTTTTAATTTTTTAAAAAATTTTTTAGATGTCTTAAGACTTAATTTTTTAAATGTCTTAAGACGTACATTTTATAATTTTAAATAAATCAATCGCGTAACTCAATACTTTTGTTCGCGTTACCAATAATATATGCAATAATAATGTCACGAAAAGCTATATACATGTAGTATCGTGATAGTTAGAGATACTAACCCTAACTTGGCCATCCTGACTGCGAGGACGTCGTACCGGACCACCACCTCTTCCTCCGCGGAAATTACGGCGGAAGTAACGTCGTGACGGACCACCGCGTCCACGACCGCCACCGCGCGGCGGGATATTACCCTCTCCGTTTCCTTCCACTTGTTCACTACCCTCGGTGCCTTCTCCTTGCGTGGGAGCGGGCCCGGAACGCCGTCCTCCGCGGTAATAACCATCGTAATGGCGTCGCAACCTATAGCGACGTTGTTGTTGCGGTGCCTGGCCCTCGGTCAGATTTCCATCGTCACCGCTTTTTCCTTCACCTAATTTAAACAAAACGATAAGTTATTCTCTCAATACTTTTTGAAAGACAAGAAGAAAAAAAGAAAATGTCCAAAAACGAAGACATCCGCGTATACCTTGATCGTAACCACCTTCCTGGCCTTCGCGTGGTCTACGATTCTGAGGTCGTCCGTTGCCGCGTCTTGGGTACACCCAGTGGATACCGCGGTATCCACGACGCTTGTCCGCCGCATATGGTGAGCCCTTAACCGCTTCACCTGCTGGACCGGTGACATTTGCGGCTTCATGACCCTTTTCGCCGATGACGACATCGAATTCCACGACCTCGCCGTCTCCGACGCTGCGCACGGCCTTCCTCGGATTGTTTTTCACTATGGCCGACTGCAATTACATACGTAATATTAAGATACTGTATCTTGATCGGTATCTTGAAAATAAAATGCCATAAGTAGTATTAAAAGCGAGAAGCTTACTTGGTGGACAAACACATCTTCCTTGGTGTCGTTCCTGGAACAATCAAGATGAGAACATGTGTTAAAAACAATCAATATTTTATTATATTATTATATTTTTAATGCAAATTAAGATTAATTATCTGAAATATTTATACAAAAGTCAGTTAATTTTTTTCAATAATTTTAGTAGATAAAAATAATCTATTTTTCTAATCTCCAAGCATTAATTTTGTAATAGTGAAAATGTTATATTTCAAACAATTTTAAATTTAAATTTGCCATCGCGTTTGCAATTTATATCTCTTACAAAAAGAGACTTTAGTAAGTCGTTGAAAAGCGGAATAATTACGTCCTACTATTTATTATATATCTATCACGGCATATAATGGAAATTTGATTTAATTGTATCAGCACAATATATACATTCGATCACATTCTCAACAAAGTTTCACGCGTATTCATGACAGACCGCGTGAGTCGCGAATATGTATGTCCCACGCATCAATTCGCGAGCGTACGGACATAGTCGGAATCCATGAAGCTGCGTAGCAAAGCATGGAGTTGAAAGGTCGTCGAACCCCGCAATGCGCATACAATCAAGGGAAAAGTACGTAAGCTCATACACAAATACACACCAGCTGCTACAAACTAGACAACCCACTCCCTTCCCTCTTTTCCCCCTCTCTCCGTTACACGATTAACAAAAGGTGAATCAAGTGTGAAGAACGCGAAGATCATAAATAAAATTTTTAAAGTTTTTTTTCAATCACCGAATTAACAGAAATCGATATTTCAAATAAAAATTACAATGTCATACATTTTTATCTTTACGGGACAATGTATTTTTGTAGATAGACAAGTGCAATACATACTCTCATGTCCAAATCAATTTTTCTTATTATATATGATTAATGTTAATTTAATTAATATTAATTTAATTAATCACAACTTTAATTTAATTAATCATAATTATTTAATTAATTATAATTTCATTATTTTAAATATTGAGAAATATTGAGTTTGCACTTTCTTAATCTTTTAATAACATCTATCAATCAAGTCTATCTATCTATCTATCTATATCAAGTATTATCTATACTGTTGAAATTTGATGTACGTCTCGGAACATGGATCGATGCCGAATAAGCACGATCCAATGGGTATCGAGATGGAACGTTGCTCTTCCATTGTGGTAGTCGAGTCCATCGAAATCGGGGTGAACACGACGAATGAACAATGGATTCGTTGTCGTCTTGGCAAAGGCTATTTAATTTTCAATGAATCTTGTTACGGTTGTGGAAATATAGAGAGATTCTATTTTCATTTATTATCTTTCAAATTTCTCCCGGAAACGTTTTTGAATAATTTTGAAAGGAATCATGAAACACGTTCGTTTCAACTATTGTTAGACATTCATCACAAAATTTATCCTTACATATTTTAAGATTAACATTACACCACAACCACATTACGGTTAATTTGATTTAATACAATTTTACATTTTTTATAATTATTTTAATAAATTTATATCTTTATAAAAAAATTATTTTTGTAAATAAATTTGAATGAGTAAGAGAGATACATGAAACATAAAAAGTTGTAAAACCAAAATATGTATAGATTAAATTCTCACCGTAGATAAGATACACGAGTTTTTAATAAAAAGGAAAAATTCTTGGCTCGATACGTCATGCTTTTCTTTGTTATAAAGAATAATATCGAAGTAAAGAACTCGACTACAGCATTTTTATATTTTTTAGGAGACAACGGAGCAACTGAAAATCCAACTAAAACGTGATGATCGTTGGGATAGTTCGACGAAAGCGTTCTACATCTGTAAATAGTTGTATCGTGACGGTCGTTTCTAATATTTTACGATATCGCTGGCGTCAGTGTCGGTGAAAGTGCATTCGAGAGTTTTCAAGTGCAAGCAGGTAAGCGTTCATACCTGAACACAATTGTGCGAAACTGTTTTCCGCCCCTTTGTGTGTCCGAGAGAATCTAAAATACGCGAGAGTTCCTCTTTAATTCGAATTCGTTCGATGTAATTCTTTCTTATCGCGAAACGCCCTCACGCAAGGTTCCATTGTCCGCACTTGTAAAAGTTCCACGTGCACAATACGCGGCAAAACAGCTTCTCGCCTACGAGCATGCGCGAAAATTTTCTGGCCCTCGGCCAGGTGAATAGAGGGACCTCGAAATAGCGAGAAACCGACTCTGCGGCCCGTGCACGTGCCGAATGAAACGTCTATTTTCCGTACGGCAGAGTGCCAGGTCGAGGTTGCAAGAACCTGTAGCGGAGAGAGAGAGAGAGAGACGATTTTCCTAATATTAGAAATCCGCTATATTTCCCCCGCGTCTCTTGAAATCGTTATCAATTAATTTCCAAAGTGTCTCACGTTCTTAATTTTACACATTCGTAATATAAAATAATAAAAACGGATCAATTAAGAATCAATTCAGATATAGATTCATGTTACGCTTTATACATTCCTAGTGGAATAAGAAAATTAGAAAAGTACAATACGTTTGATATTATTTTAGGGATTGATAATAATGAAATGTATTGATCATTAAGAAAGCAAATATGTTTAAGAAATGATGTTTCAATGAATTGATAAATATATTAAATGAGTCTATCTGTTAAGTAAATGTCTTTTTTCTTACATTAAAAAAAAATATTTGTCGAGTTATTAAGAATTATTATTGATTCTCATACTATTACAGAAGCAACGAGCGTGCTCGTCGACTAATAGATTTAACACATGTAAGAAAGTTTTCCCCAGGAATAATCGCAGATATCGATCAATTAATATCCTTCTTAAATTCTCCGTAAATGCGTAATAAATTCTTTAATGTATGTAATGAAAATTTTTTTATTCAATAAACATGTGAATAAGAGAATGCAACATCAAAAAAAATAATTAGATATATGCGACGTATATTCGAGAAGAACTTTCATGGAAGGTGGAGCAGAGATAATATGCAACGTTGAGAGTAGCAGCGCAAAATGAGCGTTTAATTTAAAATAGTATATGACTAATCCTTACACGAGACACCCACACAAGCAAATAGACATGTGTTCTCTATCTTATGTAGCGTTGCATAAAATGACAGGCATGGCATGTAATTGTAAAAACAAAAAGGAGAAGAAAAACCTCGTTGTAAATATAAAATAATGATTACTGACCTGTTGATGAAACCATATCCGCTTTTAACGTTGAACCATTTTACGGTCCCGGTCACTTTGTTCGCTGAAATAGAAGAAAAATGTTTCAAAAAAAATAATTCAAATGCGACAAATATTTAAATTGATAATGAAATTTAGTACAATGCGCTTAATTTATAATTTTTCTTTGTTAAAGTTTTAAAATATTTATTATATTATGCTTTTCACATACTGCAATAATTAAATATAAATCAAAAATAAGAAAGGAATTTAATTATAAGAGAAATTACACATATTCCAAATAATCAAAACACGAAAAAGAAAACGTCGAGTCAGAGGATATCATCTGTACTTATTATTATTAAACTGTGAAAGCAACCTTGAAGAAGGAAATAACTTAATGCTTAACGGAAACTTATCGCGTATTTATTTGAACACGTCATTGTTCGAAATCGAACGACAAATACTGTTTTTATAACTGATGACTGATATCTCTAGGAATGCATTAGGGAAATAGAAAATTAAATACTCAAGCGTGATAAGAAGAATCCTTAAAGGACTAGTAGTTTGTGCATAGAATTATAATTAATCTACATTCTTTATTAATCTTTAAATAAATTTGCTTTTAGGTTTTTTAAAATTAAAAAAAAAACGTTTTATAAGTTGAAAATTTACTATTTTAAATTTTCAACTTTCAAAAAGTTTTTTTTTTAATTTTAAGAAACCTAAAAGCAAATTTATTTAAAGATTAATAAAAAATGTAGATTAATTATAATTATATATATATATATATATATATATATATATATATATACACATATACATATATAACTTAATCCGACTTCTTGGCGAAAATATGATAAGACTATCTTAATAACAGTTTCACACGACCTTGAAGCAGTATAACCCAAACAAAGATCGAAATTAATGTCACAACATAGTTTCAATGCGATTGTATCTGCGAAATTCTTCAGAATTCTTCTGAAAATATATATAGGAGCAATTTTATTACATTACCAAATTTATAGAATTTATAAAGAAATTAATTAACCGATTAAGAAATTAAGCATTACATTTAACGAGATGTATATTGATTTGAAATTGACTTGTATCTCTTCTAAACAGTATACATTTCCAATGTAATATATGTACTAACTCTAATATAAGTGTATCAATTATATTTTAGCAACATATATTTTTAAACTTTCATATATCATATTTCTTATATATAAAAAACTCTGGACAAGTGGAATATATTTATACGACTTTTTCCAAATAAACAATGAGATCATTCGATTTGAACGAATTTTCGAATACTCTCGATCAAATTTAACTTTCAGATACGTTTATTTGCCGTTCCTTTTTCCGAGAATAAAGGGATTATTCATCGAATTTCACAATTTCTCGCCGCACTCGTGTATATTTAAACCTTTCGAGACGCGGACGTGAATACCCGAATGAACTAGCGAATGAATACGCGAGACGAATCCGCCGAGTGCGAAGGCGCAATTGTAATTCGCTGCTGCAAAAAGCACGCGGCTACGACGCGCTTACATAACGAAAACGTGGAGCGCGCGCGGCGCCGGACACTTCGGATCGGCGCGATTACTCCGGCGGAAAGTGAAAGATCGATATCATGCCGATGGATCTCCCGCCTCCCGGAGAAGCCCCGACCAACGTCGACTCCAGTCCAGCACCCGGATATCTGTTTTTTTTCCCTCTTCTTTTCAGGTTACATGACGCAACGCGCCGGAACAAGGGACGCGACCGTAGAACAAAAATCGATGACCCCTTACCAAGGGTCCCCGTCTCTCCACGAGGAATCCACGAAAGAGGGAAGATTCGCGGCGAGCATCAGCTGATGAAAAAAATGGACGACGTCCGGGCCGCGTCGTCTCGGCGCCGTCCGACCGAGGGGAGCTCGAGCGCAGGAGGAACTTGGCGCGATTTCCGCGCGCCGGCCACATGGCTCCGGATGTATAGAGAGGAGCGTGGACGCCATTACGGGCGGAGGAACGCGCGGCGGCGGCCTCGATCGGGCAATTTTTTCGTCGCGTATCGGCGCGGCGCGGCGCGGAAAACGGCGCGATAATAACGCAAGCTCGTACTCACCGATGACCATCTTCTGCTGGACAGCCTTAGGTTGTTCCGGCTGCTTCTCGGTCTCACCCATGGTGTTAAAGGTGGATTTGAGACGCGCGAGTACGTCCGTACCTAGATGTTTCCTTCTGTCTGGTAATGATGTTAATACCTATCTGATGTCGCAATGGAGGTGCCTGGTGCCTCCAGGCAACCCGGGTAAACACACCATGCCCAGCGTGTAACGCGGCCGCTGATTGGCTGTCCCCCACCGGACGGCCGCCGCGTTGACCAATCGCGCGCGCCGAGCTTTCACGAGGAGTCTCGACGAGCGGCGAGAATCGCCGAAGAGCGACGCGCATGCGCATCGCTCCCCATCGTCGGATCTTTCCACGTATATACATGTACACTCACACATGCAGCGTATACAATTTTCAGTTTAACGAATTTTCGAATATTTTCAAAGCTATAAATGACCTTTGAGTTATTCTTTATCTTAGAGAATAAGGCACGATTGCACCAACGTTATTTTAGCTTTAAGCGAGATTTAAATATATATATATCTATCTTTATCTTCCTTTCTAAATAAATAAAGACAGACATATATTTAAGTTTCCCTTAAAGTTAAAATAACGTCGGTGCAACCGAGTCTAAATAAAAGGAATTTTATCTTTTTCAAATTCTTTTATACAATAGAAAGAATGCATCCTGACCCGGAGAAAGAAAAATGTTTATTTGAAAAGAAGGTTTAGTTTGAAAAACTATTCTTTTTAACTATACAGAAAATAAAAAGGATGAAATATTTAAATTTATAACATGTATAGCACAAAAGAATCTTCATTTATCAACATACTCGCAAAGAAAAAATGCATACACTTGGCATTTGGTTTCATTACGATAAAAATATTTGGTTTTATTACAACAAAAGAACATATTTTTTGTAATGTTCCACGAGTTTTACGATTTTCAAATCTCTCGTACAATAGAAAAAAAAATTGAAAAAGGTAAGGAATACAATAGACAAATATCCTGCTGCGCAGATAATGATTTGGAGAGAAAAATAAAAAGAGAGATTTATGCTTTTACTATTTTTAACAGTATTTGGAAAGAAGAATAAAAAGAGGAATTTATGATTTAACTATTTTTTTTAAACATAGAGAAAGTAGAAAATATATAAAGACGAAACATCTAAATTGAAAATATAAAATAAGAATAGCAACATGTTCGTAAAGAAAAAATTCAGGATAAACATAACAATTAATATTTTTTGGCACGATAAAAATTTAAAGAAAACTTTAATAACACGTGCTCCTTTTAATATATACCTTATATCGAGAATAAAGATATAATTTTCCATATACATATTATAATTGTTAATAATATAACTAGCTCAAACTTGTATTAATGAATGAAATTAATAATGGTTTTAATTATATTATTAATGAACGCAATTAATAATAGTTTTAATTATATTTAATGTGTATCGATTGAATCATGGTCAGGTTTTTTTCTTTAGTGAATATAATGCCGATGTTTAATTATGAGTTTTCTAAAGTTTACAATTATTTTAACAATTTGAATATTTAAAAAAAACAGTGGAGAAAAGGTATATATATTTACAATTATATATAATTATATGTTTTTACTATATATATATATATATATATATATATATATATATATATATATATATATAGTAACAGTAATCTATTTGTCTTACGTTAACTAATGTGTGAAAACACATGTCGTTAATATATGTATCGTTACACGTATCGTCAATATGTACATGTTGAGTAGCTAAAAATGCAGTAGTAATACAATGAAATAAGAAATCCAAATACATCATTGGTATGAAATAAAAACATGTATAAATATTACATTATTATTAATAGTTATTATTGAACTGTTGACAATCTGTCATAAATAATAAATACAATTAATATTTTATTCTAATTTTTTTTATATAAAAAGTTTCCATCACATACAAGACGTGCACATCGTTTTTATTCGTTAAATTTTAAATTAAATATTGTTATATATATAGATTTTTTCTCATATAAATGGAAGAACATTTGTTTACACACAAATTTCACTCATTTCAAATAATACAACAAAAATTTAAGAAGGCAAGAGATATGTGTCGCTTATAGTAAACGCGAAATCTCTATTATTTAAATCAAAACTTGTATTATTTTAGAAATACTCGATATGCTTGTAATGATATAAAGCTTTCTATAGGATAAAAAATATTATATGCCTAGGAACAACACAATAAACACGTAAATGTTAATGTACATAAAAATAATAAGATATTATCATATATATATTAATTATAAGTTATATACATATAATAAAGGAGAAACGTAATATCTATTGATGAAACTTGAAATGTAAATTGATATGAATGTAGGAAAACATAACGATAAATTTTACTAAATTGTTTAAACCATTAAGACTTAAAAAATTGTCTACATCATTATTTCATTATTCGTATTATTAATTACAATTGTACAGATGAATAAACTTGGATGTTGCATTTTCGAATTAGATGTTGCATTATATTATGAAACATCAAAGTTCTGTAAGCAGCAGTTGTTGGATAAGATTAAAGCATATTTTTGCAAAGTTTGTCATTCTAAAGATTAAATTGAACTAAAATGTTATATGCTACTATATATACAGGTTGTTTCATCTATATAATTATATGATGATATCATATTCCCACCAAATAGATTTAATAATATGGAAAAATGAGTATATCTAGGTGGAAAAATTAATATTTTATAAAAATGAAAAAATTTTTTTATTTATATAATAAACATATAGATATACACACATAGATTTATATAATAAAGTATATGTAAAAGATATATTTATTATATAAATATGTGTATATGTGTGTATTTTAGTATTTTATATCTTTTATATAAAAAAATTGAAATCATAAAAATATGAATTTTTTTATACAGGATTAAAGAAAATGTAATTTTTTCCTTACTCATTTTTCCATCAAAAGATATTTCACATAAAAATTTTAGATGAATGGCTTAAATTAGACACAAAGCATCAAATATATATGAACTTATATATGTATATATTGTACTTATATATGTACAGGGTAAGAGACACTTAGTAATCCCGTTACCGAACATACTTTTAGAAATGTGGCAAACCCCACTTATTACTTATTATCTTCACAATATATAATTTGTATTATATGATTTATTTATCAAATTTATTAAATATCGAATGTGGTATGTGCATTAATTATATGTTTCATATCCGCACGAAATTATATATAAAATAATATAATTGAATAAACACTTCAAATATATATATATTTCAAACAAAAATATGCACTCAAACGAGCGACGTTTACATTCTCCATCATCTTGGTTTTCGCATACGAATTGTCCTAGATCGCGGCGCGGTAGATCCACTCCCGATATTGAACATACCAGGTGTCGAAGGATTGAAGGTCGGTGCTGCTGATGTTCCAAAATTAAGAGTAGTAGTCGCTGGCTGTGGTGTGGTAAAGTTAAATCCTGTTGGTGCTGAAAACACAAAAGTGATTGCAATTAATATAATTGAATATCAGAATATTGAAGAAACGAATAAGCAAAAGTAACAATAATATTTTAGAACAGGAGCTTGTACAATTTTCTCCTCTTTTCATCTAAAATTTCGTTTACACATATGACTCAATTTTCTTTATATGATTACATAGTTATATTAATAATAAAATAATTTTTATTTAAAAATTTACCTGATTTGGAAGTAGATCCAAATTGGAACGGAGTAGATGATGCAGCCGTAGAATTATTGCTTCCAGCAAAATTGGATCCGAAAGAAAATGTAGTATTTTGTTGCCCATCCTTCTGATTGCTTCCAAAGACGAACATAGTATTTGTGTTATTGCTCGCATTATTAGCATTAGTGGTACCGAAGGTGGGAATCGAAGACGATGTAGATGTACCCGCAAAGCCGGTAGTGGTCGCGGGCGTTGCGCCGAAGGGAGATTTATTATCACCGAATATATTACTATTACTTGCTGCAGTCCCAAACGTGAGATTCGTAGGATTTTGCGTGCCGAAAGTGCTCGTCGTCGAAGCGATGCCGAAAGTTCCACTAGCCTGCGTAGTGTTCGTTCCGAACAGGGGAATCGACGTGGTTTTATCGGTCGAACCGAACATAGTGGTTGTACTGCCGAAAGCTGATGTTGTCTGCGATGTTCCTGCGTTTGGTGTTCCAAACCCGAGTGTCGTGTTGTTTATGCTGTCAAAGCCAGAGGTGATCGTACCGGTAGAAACGTTTCCGGTGATGCTGAATGTGGATGTGGTCGGTACGACTTGTGTGGTTGAATTAAACAACGATGATGTCGTGCTGCCAAACATGCCACTTGCTGTTCCGAAGGACGGCGAAAGCTTTGTCTGTCCGAAAATTGGCGTGCCACTGCCGAACATTGAAGATGTAGTGGTCGTTGGAGTCAAATTGGTATTAGCATTAGCAAATAAATTGGAACTGATCGTGCTGTTTGATGAAGCTGCAGTATTGGTTGTCGTAACGAAAATTGAAGGCACCGTAGTCGTTGGATTGTTAAATATGCCTGTAGTTCCTGGTACAGTTGATGCGGTTCCGAAAAATGATTGGCTGTTGCTAGTCGAACCAAAGATATTTGTGCTCGTCGTTGTATTCGATGTAGTAGCGAAAATGGATGTGGTGGGTACACCAAATTGTGGAACAGTAATTGTAGGTGTGTTAAATTGCGGAGTGATAGTCGTGGTAGACACACCAAACGGGAGAACGGTATTATTTTTCATCCCACTGAAATTGGTTATATTGCTGGCAGTTGTAACTGGTAGAACTGCAGTTGTTGATGTCGTGTTTGAAGTATTGGAAGTGCCAAAAACAAACAGAGGTTTGCTGGTAGATGAAGTAGATGTTGAAGTAGTGGTGGATGTACTAAGCGAGAACGCAGGTGCATTAGATAATCCGGTCGATGTCGATGTCGTTAACGATGTGGTATTTGTAATATTCGTAAATGGGTTATTTGCAGTGGTCGTCACCAAAATATTAGATGTGAAATTAAAAGATTTAGTCGTAACTTGGGGCAATGATGTCGTCTGGCTCAAAGAATTTCCAAAAGCGTTTACTTTCGATTGAGTATTACTATTAGATTGACTCAACATGAAATTATTCGACTTGGGAAGTTGCGAAACGGTACTGTTGTTTCCAAAAGTGAATGAAAGTGGAATCGCAGATGTTGTTGTTGTGAGATTATTTGATGTAGTGCTTGTATTATTGTTAAAGCCGGTGATACTGATTGATGGTGAAGTTTTAACTGGCAATGTGGATTGAGTTGATAAACTTGATATTGTACTTTGAGCGATCGCAACGGGATGCGAAAAGGATTTGCCACTAGCGAGAGTGAAGGTAGGATTAGCCTGTGTAGTATTGATTTTAGTAGATAAATTAACGGATGCACTTGTAGAAATAATGTTTTTCGTCTCAATCGTAGCGTTAGAAGTCACAAGTGCAAATGTCGAGTTCGATGGCGTTTTATTGGCCGCTGAGAAATTAATAGACGTTGATGGAGATGTTATTGTGGTAGTAGCAGCTAATGTAAAGGTATTGTTATTAGATATATTAGTACCAAAGTTCGGCAATGAATTACTCGGCGTTGTAGCAAGTTTGCCGAAACTGAAAGTTGGTGTTGTACTTGGAGTCGAAGATATAATTTTCTGTAAAGATTCTGTATTCGCAATCACGGGTGTAATTGGTACAACTTTCGCTTGATCATTTGTTTCTTTTGTTTTAAGAGTATTATTATTTATTGACGGCACGTTCGATTGCACTTTAGTATTCGCTATAGCATTCGGTGTAGCTTTCGGTGTAGCTTTCGGTGTAGCTTTCGGTATAGCATTCGGTGTAGTATTCAGTGTAGTATTTGGTGTAGCATTCGGTGCACTGAAAATTATGACCGATTTTGTACCAAGTTTCGCATCAGGACTCGATGAAGAAAAACTACCACTTGGAATAATAGCCGCAGTAGAAAGCGGAGTAGTATTGATATTGGTCGTGGTTGTCAAAGAATTAAGAGTCGCGCAAGTGGCCGAACATGTGATTGGTGGCGTAAATGTCGCGTTAATATCGTCCGCTTGTATCACGACGTCTGGATTGATTTTATTCTCAGCTGAAATCATAAATAAAAAAGTTCTTATAAAGATAATGAGGAGAAAAAGATGAGAGTGTAATAATATTTCTTTCCCGTAAATCTTTAAATCAAAATATTAAAGAAAGAGAAGCATTTGGTACTCTTACATGAGAAATTATTAATGATCTGACACAAGACAAGCATTTTTTTATTATATTTACCTTTTCCTGAGATTGCATCAAACATACTTTGTAGTCTCGCCTTCATATTAGTTTGCCTCATATTTCGTATGTCGTCCCTCTTTATCTCTTCTACATTATCTGTTGCAAACTTGACTTTTATGTTAGTTGGTTCTTCTACAAGCGATTTCAATCGTTCGTTCCGTTCAGGTTCGGCTCTCATAAATAGTTTTTCTGTTAATTTGACGAATTTTGATGAAACGGATTTGATATCATTAGTTTCGGTGACATCTTTTTTTGTATTTTTGTGAATTACTACAGACGTTGCTTTGTTTAAATTGCTTCTTGATTCTTTGTTAGATGACTTCAATATTCCTTTCACCAGTGGAAATTCCTGCATTCTTTTAGAATCGAGTGTTTCAAGATTTCTTGAATATACTTCTTTTGACTCAGATTTATCTGTATGATCTCTATCTAAATTTTGAGACTGCAGCACAATAGGAGAATTATTAGAATGTGGATTTTCCAATGACTTGAAGTGCTTTTCGAAATCGGGTGTCCCACTACGTGAGAAATCAACTGTGAAAAAATATTAATAAAAATTTATGTATCAAATATAAAAATTATTAACATAATTATAAAATTTAATACTTGCCTGCTTTTCTTTTAACACCAGTAGCAACATGCATACTAGAACTCAATGAATTCAAGATATCGTAACAAGATCGTGTTTTTGTACGTTTTGCAGGTCTGACAGGTTTACTTTGAGGAGAAAGATCCTCTTCCGATTTGGACGATTCGTCCCTGCTACGTTTCTGTTTGTTTTCTTCCAAAACTAATTCTCTTTCCTCATTGAAAAAACTGTCTGTTTTTTGCTTCTTAGCAACATCAAAACTGACATCCTCCGTTGATGCATGTCGTTTTAATGATATTTCTTTTAAAACTTGTACAACACTCGTGGGTGACCTGTTCTCTGCGTGACAAATATTAGACAGAATCTTTTGCCTTTCAGGTGGAGAATACTTTGTCACATCTGGCGCTGCTACCCTTACTGTCACAGGCATTCTCATCTTTGTAGATTTTGCATTCAGCAGAGGAATTGGACTCGCATAAAGATTAACTTTTGGAAACTGCCCGGCACCATACTGAGATTGATGAATCAATTTACTCTTTGCCTCTGTAGCATACTTGGTTAATCTTGTTGTAAGACCTGGTGATGTCACATCCGTATAGACCCTTATTCATGAAAAAGAATAAAATATAAGTAATAATTCTAAATATAAAATGTTCCTTGACACAAATATATAAAAATTTGTTACAATTTTATTATATCTATTTATAGAGAAGTATCAAAGATGATATTCTTTATATTACGAATAAGAAAAGATATAATTGAAATTAAATTTCCAGATATACTTACTTTGGATCGATATTATATCTTGTCGATGCTAACAAGGGTCCGGCAACGGTCTGAACTGTCTTTATACCTGCTGGTCTAGGGCGCATGGTAGGACTGATACTCACGCCCCATGGGGAGCCCTCAGGACTAAACTGCGTGATGTTCTCACCACAGCTGGACATATAAGACTGAGACATCCTCTTAGAAGATACTTGGCGCGATTCGGGATCGACGTCGCCGTTTTTATAGTTCCCTTCTCTGTCACCGGGTTTGATCCTTTCCACTGGCGTGGAAGTGTGCTTGCCAAAGACGGATTGCTGTCGCTTCCTCGACAAACGATCATTGTCGCCGGCGTCGTAGAACTTACCGTCTACCACGAGCACGTCGTCAACGCGCGAATGATGCGGGATCGGGCTCAATTGGCCGATCGAGCTGAACCTGGTTGAGAACGAGGCAGAGGTCGATGGCGAGGAGTCTTTACGCTTGACGGCGACGCAAGGATCGCTGCTCAACTGATAAGTGCTCGCGCGTCGCTTAGGCATCCTGAACGGAAAATGTTCGCGGTAACAACGGCTCGCACTCTGCCCGAGCTTACGCACTTGTCCGGTACCGTAACCGTAGGCGACGCGGAACGCCGCGCCGAGCTCGTGGACCGCCTCGCTCAGGTAGCTGAGTATCTGATACGCGTGCGGCGACACTAGACTGTCGTTTGCGAGCAGGGAATAACACGCGTACACCACCAACAACAGGGTGAGCGCTAACGCCAGGATCGCGCCCCAGGCGCTGCAAATCAGCACGCACCCACACGTCACGCTTAACGTCAACACCACGGCAGCGCGGTTACCGAGGTTCCACATAGTACTGTTAGTTGTTCAAAAAGATAACCTCCCCATGTTTGAAAAAGAGCACATTCACCGCAATTGTCGGAACTTGCCCACGAGCGATGAGATCATCGATATACATCGATATGCAAATTGGCGGCCGTCGATTGGCGGGAAACGTCGAGTACGAGGGCCCCTCGTTCCTCTCCCGCCTCGCGACGCGCGAAGAGAGGGCATAATCATTTAAAGAAGTCCGAAAAAAATCTCTCCTTTCTCCACATTTAAAATACCAATTCCTACCTATCGCCTTGCGCAAGCTCACTGTCAAATCTGTTTCTTTTTTTTTTTTACACCAGAGAGTGCAGAAATAATTTAGATCAGATACGAAAGTAATTGGTCAGTTTCTTTAGGGTTTAAATTATTGTAGACCCGGCTTAAAGGTACACTCCGCGACAATTCGTTCCACGATCCCTCTCGCGGGGCAAGGGAAGCGTAGCCTCTGACCAATCAGCCACTGCCATGCTGCCAGCTGATTGGTCACTTCATTGAACCTGTTCTTTTTAGCTGCACTGCTGCACTAGTGCAATTAGTTAGAGTGAAAGAAAGGGGAGCATCCCGTTTGACCACGTTGCGATTGACCACAGCCAATTATATCGACCTGTGCCTAGGGTAACCAGCAACGATTAACCAATCAGAGAGTCCTATTTTGAATTGGCCAATTGGCGACGTGATCAATCGGGGGCCCGAAAGAAAGTATGTTTGTCTCTTTCCAACTTATTGCACTAGTACAGCAGTGCAGCTAAAAAGAACAGACTCATTGACGAATGTATTGAATCATCTTGTTGTTCGATTAATCGCAGGTAGTAATGGTGGGCGCTACCGGAGCAACGCACACGTGACAATCTCCGAAACGTCGCGCGTGCCAGAGAGAGAGAGACGCACGAGAGCTTAACCTCACTGGGAGTACGCCGGTCGAACTCGGGGAGAAATGTCGTGGTTATTCGGGTATCGTAATTCGCAGCCACCGCAGGATTTTACGCAATTCGTCGCGCAACCGCCACCCGCGGGCGGTGGCGGCGATGCCGGAGGAAATCCTCCGCCGAGGGTCGGCAAGACTCAAATGGAAGCGTACAGGTTCGATTCGGCCGCCTTGGAACGAGCCGCCTCGGCCGCCAAGGATCTCGAACGATCAAGTATGACATTTCCTTCTTCCTGACAATCTCTCGCGTAAAGCATTTCCGCGGGCAATTATGTAAGCCAGCGGTTCCAGAGGTTAGGATGGACGCGCACACGAGGTGGAGGGGTACCTCGCGTGCGCGATGATGCAACTTTTCGCGATGAATGCATCGATTGATTCAGCGAATAAAGATTTTTATGAAATATTCACGAGACGAATGTTCGCAAATGATACTGACGAATCGATGACAATATTTTATTGTTATCGATTACTCAGTAGTTATGTCTTCGTGAAATTTTTGCATATACGTTTTTCTCAATACATGATGATATTGCAAAAAATATTAATATTCTTTTTGCTCTAATATTTTGAGAGAGAAAATATGTAAAATATAAAAGAGGATACATAAAATATGTAATTGAAATGATTTTCTATTACAATAATACTAATTTTAGAAATTATAATATATAGAGTTGATTGTATCATTATATAAATTAAATTTATACTATTTATTAATTGTTGAATATGCCAAAGATGTTCTTTGTAAGATTATGAAATATTTATGGTAAAATAATTTATATATAGAACATGCAAGAGAAGCCTTGGATCTATCTAAAATGCAGGAAACCACGAGACAAATAGAAATGCAGGCTAAAATGAAAAAATATGAAGCCAGCATTGAGCAACTTAAAGCGGAGCAGAAGCGAGTGGAGGGCGAGGAAAGAAGAAAAACCATGCAAGAAGAGACAAAACAGCATCAAATGAGGGCACAGTATCAAGATCAATTGTCTAGAAAGCGTTATGATGATCAGTTAATCCAGCAACAAAAAATGAATGACGAAAACTTGAGAAGGCAAGAGGAATCGGTAGCCAAACAAGAAGCTATGAGAAAAGCTACAATAGAGCATGAAATGGAATTGAGGCATAAGAACGAGATGAGGAAATTAGAGGCGGAATTAAAGGCCAAAGCAAAGATTGACAGAGAAAATCAGGATCTTAATCTAGAACAGATTAGATTGAAAGCCTCGGAAAAGAGGATTACCGTTTTAGAATCTATAAAGTAAGCAACCATTTACTTGCGTTTTATTTACAGAAATATAAATTTCATTTCATAATTATTGTATCTTTTAGAACAGCTGGTTCAGTATTAGGTTCGGGAGCCAAGGCTCTACTGGAAGATTGGGACAAAATCCTCGCAGCGGCGGGTGGTTTGTCTCTCGTAGCCTTCGGAATATACACTGCCAAGGGCTCGACCAGTGTGGCGTCGCGCTACATCGAGTCTCGCTTAGGGAAGCCGTCGTTGGTGCGCGAGACATCCAGATTTACGTTCCTCGACACCATTCAGCATCCAGTTCAAGCGGTGAAGAAATTGAAAAAGAAACAAACTGATGCGCTATCCGGCGTGATTCTCGCGCCAAAACTCGAGGAAAGGCTGCGCGATATCGCAATAGCCACGAAAAACACTAAGTATAATCGTGGCATGTATAGAAATATATTGATGCATGGTCCACCTGGAACCGGTAAGACTATGTTCGCGAAGAAACTGGCCGAACACTCTGGTATGGATTACGCGATTGTTACGGGGGGTGATCTGGCGCCGTTGGGCAGAGACGGCGTGACTGCCATTCACAAGGTGTTCGATTGGGCGTTAACATCACGAAAGGGATTACTGCTGTTCATCGACGAGGCGGACGCGTTCCTAAGAAAGCGCTCGAGCGAACATATCTCGGAAGATCTCCGGGCGATGTTGAACGCGTTTCTCTATCGAACTGGTGAACAAAGTAACAAGTTTATGCTGGTGCTTGCATCGAATACGCCCGAGCAGTTTGATTGGGCGGTAAACGATCGATTGGACGAAATGGTGGAGTTCCGTCTTCCGGGTCGCGAGGAACGCGAACGTCTAGTCCGCCTGTACTTTGACAAGTTTGTCTTGCAGCCGGCGATCGAGGGTAATAAGAGACTAAAAGTCGCACAATTCGACTACAGCTCGCTGTGTAGCAAGATGGCTGATCTGACCGAAGGAATGTCTGGCCGAGAGTTGGCAAAACTTGGAGTCACTTGGCAAGCAGCGGCCTACGCCTCCGAGGATGGTGTATTAACGGAAAAAATGGTCATGTATAGATGTCTCGAAGCCATTAAGCAACACAAACAGAAGGTACCTTTTAAAACTAAAATTCTGAAACTGATTTAAAATATGTTTAACATTTTATTATGATATTTTTATAAATATGCTTGTATTTTATGAAAGTCATGAAATATATGAAATGTATGAAATTTATTAATGGTGTGCTGCTTATGATACAGGTACAATGGCAAAGTGAACAAGAAAAGCAAGAATCGAAATCAATATATGCCACGGAGGATGATGCAGTTGTTCGTTCGACAACTTCAAAAATTCCAGCGATAGAACCATGTCCGGGAAACACAATAGCTACTGCCTAGATAATTGTAAGACGCAATAATAGATGGTCTTTGAAAGATCAGGATAATAGCAAGATCAATAAAATATGGAAGGATTAAAAGTACAAATGCCGCTTGGAAAAAGATTATTCTGGCGATTTTTGTATTATAATACACAAACAAATTTATGGGACTCTCGATTGGTTGCAAATTTGTCACTTGTTACAAATGTACATTTACATAGGACAATTAAATCATAATTCTATAAAGGATTGTCATCATCTTTCACCATTCTTCTATTGTGATAACATGGAAATTTGTAATGAAATTGAGCCTTGTAAATTACGGATAATTTTTTAGGCGTCTTCAAGAAGAATTATCAATTATGTTAATTTATGTGTTTACTGAAAAAAAGTGGCAAATATCGAAGCTTTGCAGCTTGCAGTCATAACAATAATATCGCACATACACAAACAGATAGATACAACTTTGAGCTCGCCAAAAATGATTTGAAATTTCAATTTTTTAATTTTTATTGTGATTACTGCAGTAATTTAGAACTGCAGTTATTTAAGACTTTAAGGAACGTTAAAGATATTTTATATACAACAGTGAAACATTTTCTATAACTGAACATATAACTTCCTTATCAATTATCTTTGGTTTTTCAGAAAAGGATGCGACGAGATTAAATATTATTACAAGAATGCAATCGATATCACAATTATTTCTGTATCAAGAAAAAAACAAAAAGATTTGAAAACTTGTAGAAGCAATCATATATATATAAGAGAATCCATCTATTAATTTAATCTCTTCTATTTCGAGAAAATAAGTGAGACAATAATTTTAACGCATTTTGTACGTTAAAAATCGAAGTTTTTTTGCTATCTCGTAAATTCCCGCGATGAGATTATTATTATCGTCGCTTACAACTTACGTCAACATTACGACATTCGATTCGACTATCAAATCATCGTCGGCATCGTCGCGAACTTTGTATTGACGATTTTTTTTTGCAATTTCGTATACACGGGTGTGTTTGTCAGACATTTTCGATATGATCACGATATTAGAGCCGGTTACCCTTGCGTAATTATGTACACGCGACCGAGATAAGAACTCGCTGCGTATCAGTGCGCCATTAAAGACAACGTAAGAGAAAACTACGAACCTTGATGATGCGCGGGTGAAGAGGCCATCCAGTAGTCATAATACTTTACGATAGGATGAACATGTTTCATGTCACGTTGAGCAACACAATTAGCACAATTGCATTACTATTATTTGTATTGAACTAGGCGAACTTTGTGGAAAGATGATAGGATTTTTAAGAAAAATTTTATTTATATGTATAATTGTTTATCTATACTTTTCATGCATTTTTAAAGTTAATTATGATGTCGAAAATAATATTCGGTCTAAAACTGTTTCAACAAATCAATACAAGAGATTCTTTATTAAAGAATCACATAAAATCTTTCTTTTTTTTTCTAATATTTTTTAATTACATATTGCATATGAAAACTATGATAAATTTAAACAATTTTCTAAAATCTATAAGAAAAGTAAATACTTTAGAAAAAGAACATATTTTTGCAAATAAATATATATTTGGTTGTCTTGGATATATATGGTTTTAAACTAATTAATTTTTTCTATTGATTATTTTATCTTTTCGTAATGTTTCTATGAATTTGCATAATCGAAAGAGAAAGCAAATGCAAGACGGCGTTATATTATCCATGAAAAATAATAAATAAAAATGAGCAAACATCGGAAAGATATACTTCCTAGAAATTACATTTCAATATGCAAAGTCACTTAATTTGTAGTATGCTTTACGTAAATAACATTCTAATATATTAACATTAACATTCTATACATATATGTATATTAGTATATGTATATGTATATTAAAAAGCATTTTTTATAATTATGCTTCATATTGCTTCATTAGAATTACAATATCTTGTAAACATTTTATTATGTAATATATTGACCGTAAATAGCATACATCGAGTGAAATCTTCTTTTCTATGTGACATCTTGGCATTACATATATCTCTACGGGATTTATATTCTTTTGACACTATTATGTATTTCTTTCATGCGTTCGATGCATGATTCCAGCGAGAGTGAGATAAAGCATTTTTACATAAAAATTTTTATGTAAAACTAGATTAGAATTTGAACTAGCATTATTATTGCAAATCGCTGTCTTATATGATTACACAGTAAAAAATTGTCCACATGTTAAAATTTTCTTGTGTTACCACGTTTTGATAGTACTTCAATGTAAAATTAACATACAACCTATACGTTATTATTTTTATAACGTTTTCATGTGTTATGTCAACTTCATAACTTAACACTTCATATATGTCTCAAAGTCAGTTTAACATTCTAAAAAAAGGTAAAGTGAATTTTCAAATAATTTTGAACTTTGACATACACTGAAAAAATTGTATTCTCAACTTAAAAATATGCCACTTTAGAATATATACTAAAATAGGCCAAGAGGCTCTTCTTGAGAGAATACAATTTTTTCAGTGTACAGAAATAATCAAATTTACTGAGATCAAATGTTTCTTTTACAAATAATTTAAGTTAAAATAATTACTATTATATGTTAACATCTTCAACATTTCTTACGAATTATTGTAACTATTTTTTCATGTAATTTTTAATTAATTTGTATGTTATTTTTACATTACACTTAAAATCACAATAACAAAAATAAATATATTGTGTCAATTATTTAACATTTTTAGTTTGTCAGTAAGTAACATACGATGAATGAGTTATTTTAACTTAAAATTTAGAGTGGACTTTTTGGGACATGTGAAAAATGTTATAATTTACATTTTATTTTTTACTGTGTATGCATGATTTAATTATATAAAGCTACTGTTTACTTATATATATATATATATATATATATATATATATATATATAATCAATTATATATATCTAGTACATTTTTAGAATTAAATTTTCATACATTTTTAAATGAAACATTAATTTAAAAAAAAGATACATAGGTATCTAGGTCCGAAAATAATTCGAATCACGTTATTCCGCGATAGATTTTTGATCGGTTTTACTCTCATGTATGTATTTATATATAACTATTAGATAGCTTTGACGTTTCCATTGATTTCCTTAAGTGGGGATATATCTAGAATCATGTTTTTCTCGTTTCTGTGATAAAACGCATCGTACGATCCCTCATCCGGCACAACTTCCTACTTAACGTTTGACAATGAATCCAATTAAATAATTTATTACGTTTGCACTCGTTGATGCAAAAATAGATCCTATTATACTTGACGCTATCTTTGAAACATGTTTTTGTGGGGAAGATTGAACATCCGCTAGTCAACAACGACCTTGACAATGGATTTTCTTCTCTCTGTTTTATTGTTTCTTCTATTCGTTTTCTTATTTATTTCTACATCATTCGAAGTATTGCGTGCAATTGAAGCAAGAATTATGGCTCACTTAAAACAATTGTTCATACAAATGTCAGAAAAAAAGAAAAAGGTTTTTTTTCCGTTAAAAGATCTTTCAAAGATCTTTTAGGAAAATTTACCTGCTATGTTAAATTCTCAGGTAGTTTTCCCATATCTAAAAAAGAGCGAGGAAAGAATGAAAAGCATGCGATTGCCTCTGAACTTGTTACCGAACTGTGTGTATCGGAGGTGTTAAGCATCAAAGGTCATCTCTGCAACAAGGTTATCGTTCGATTTTAAAAAGAGTAGGGAGATTTTTGTACGCTGTTAGTTCACTTAAGCGTTAGTTCAGTTCGACGAAGACGTTGCCCATCGACGTCGATTTATCTGTTTGCTCCTACTTCAAAGTTCTTATCTGATGTGGTCTAGCTATTCGTCTTCCGTTTTCTTCAGATTGATTTAAGCTTCGATGAGAGAAAAGATATTTATTTTCGATCGCGATATCTCGAGACATACCCTATGTTTCTTTCTATTTTTGATCATCGATCAAATTCACGAAATTTAAATTTAATATTGTGAATATTATCGTGCGAATCTACGAATCGACATGACGATCTCGGTGGCAGACACGGCACTCGACATCGAAAAGAAGGCGATCGATCATTGCACTCGACGCAATCGTCTTTACAATTGCTTAATTTGGGTCTATTGTGGCATGTTCCTGATGAGTTTCGTCAGTTTCTACGTATTCTGGTACACCGACACGTTCTCCAACTTAGTGTTTTCGCAGATGAAACTGCAGAACGACACTCGCAGTTTCAACTTGTGGCAACATCCGCCTGTCAAGCTTGAATACCGGGTTCGCATCTTCAATTATACAAACGTGAGGGAGTTTGAGACAGGCATGGCCAGCAAGTTGCGCGTCCAAGAGCTTGGTCCTTATGTCTACCGGGAGACGAAGGATCGCGTGAACGTGGTGATGCACGAGAATGGCACGGTGACCTTCCAGGAGAAGACATCGTACGTGTGGGCAGACGGTAGTTCCGAGAACGACGTCGTCGTGGTGCCGAATGTGCCGATGATGTTCATCGTCGCGTTTGTCCGGGACTCAAGTTTCGCAATTCGTTTCCTTACAAACACAGTATTATCGACTCTACGAGAACGAACCTTCATCAATGTGACAGCTGGTGGATTCCTCTGGGGATTCGATAATAGTCTCTTTCACATGGTTAAACCATTTTTGATGTTCAAACGAGATATATCATTTGACAAGTTCGGCTTACTAGTTACAGTACGTATACAACTGCGTATAATCGTGTGGAGAGATTTTCAATATAATAAAGTTCTTTTTTCATAAAAGTGTTTAATAAAAAAACTACTTATTTTCTCGAAATATATTTATTTGACGAAAAAAATAAATTTATAGAAAAAATATTTTATGAATTATGTATATATGTAGCAAGAGAAGCTTTATACGAATGTATTCGGTATAAAAAATTTACTTATTTTATTGCAATATGATCTTTACATAATAAATTTGCGCTATTATCCATAAATTGGAATAATTCGCAATATTAAAAAAAATAGAAGTGTTTATATAACAAATATTTGATATAAAATGTTTATGTAATTTCTATAATAATTATTTGTATTATGAAAAAAACAAAAAATAAATTTTCGCATATTCCAGTTCTCGCAGAAAATAGATATTACAATAGAAATAGCACAGATATTACAATAGAATAGTGTCTCTATCGTAATATCCCATTATAAAAATGCATTAACATTTTTGCACAGAAAAAAAAATTAATCAAAACTTATATACATAAACTAACGCGTTCATTGTTTTATATATACGCAACAATTTATAATCTTTTTAGAAGAATTTAATATTTTTAAATTTCAATTTTATTGTAGTCTTATTTTAATATTATAATTGTCACCTCAAGAATATATAATTATTTAATTCTACTTTAAGAAAATTATAATCTTTGATTTAAAAATGTTATTTTCTATCTAACATTGTTTCTTTTCTATTCAAGAAAATTAAATCTTAAATCATAAGAATATATTTTTCTTGATTGAACTATGTAAAATGGTTTCATTCAAGTAAGCAATTATTCAAGAAATTATATTTTTCTTTAATTAATGCAATATAATCTCATTTCAAGATTTTCTCATTAAAATTAAATATATTTTTAAAACAAGAATGTCCTTTTTTTCTGTGTGTAGAGAGACGCTAAATCTCGACTTTAGTCTTTTTCACAGAACAATATACGTATATACATAATACATGATACATGCATACATAAATATATATAGCCAAGTTTTTTTCAGCTGTGTATTTTTTTGATTGTAGAAAAGCGGCGTCAATAAAAATTATATCACAATGAATACGGGATCACAAGATCTTCACAATCTCGGCATGATCGAGCGAGTGAACGGAATAAACAATCGGAAAATTTGGGGTGATGAGAAGTGCGATAGAATCATGGGTAGCGATGGCAGCATGTTTCCACCATACTTAATAAAAAATACAAGTGAACCCCTTTACATGTATTCTCATGAATTGTGCAGGAATCTACCTCTTCACTTCGCCGAACAAGTGATCACTCATGGCATACCTTCTCTACGGTAAAGTTAATTTGTATTTAATATCATAATACAATGCGTATAAAAGGATATAAAACATTATTTAGAATATTTTATTTAATTAATATTTTATATTTTTAATTAATAGATAATATTTGTTTATTTTGAAATAATAATCTATTTACATTTTTTTTTGTTTACTTATAATCAAATTATTTGCTTCTATAATATAATAAAATATTCTATTTCTTTATAAATATAAAATTTTATATTTATAGACAAATATTTTTCTTGTGAAATAAATTTGTTAGTAAATTCTAGTTATATGTGTGAAAAGGAACAATAATAACTTTTACTAAAAACTATAAATTATAAATTAATTGAAAATGAAATCACTTTATACATAACACAATTTTCGTTTGTCTCAGGTATAAATTGACACCTAACGCGTTCAATCTTTCGGACACGCAAAACAAATGCTTTTGCCCGAAAGTAAACGGTTTAAGAGTTTGCCCGCCGGCGGGACTCTTTGATGTTTCCGCATGCAATGATGGCGTACCTTTGCTTTCATCATTTCCACATTTTTATGGCGCTGACAAATCCTTACTAGAACAAATAGATGGCTTGAATCCTCGACAGGAAGATCACGAATCCTACATAGATTTACATCCGGTATGTCTCGGCGCTCTATCTCTTAAGTATTATTATGTAAATGACTATTTGATTGTTAATATTCAGAGATACCAAAGTATTAATAAAATTTTACGATTAATTAATCTGATTTTATAAGAATTAATAACATTATGTTATAATAGCGTAATAATATCATATATGTTAATAATTATAATTTATGTTAAGAAATTGGGAAGCAGCATTAATCTTGTTTGTCATTGTTTTTGTTAAAATAATCGAATAAATTTTGTGTTTAGCGCATTGCGGTTCCCATGGCCGGTTGGTCGAGAATGCAAATAAATCTGAAAGTACGAAAAGCGATTGGCGTACCGTTTCTTGGAAATCTGAAGGACGGCACAATTCTTCCGCTCATTTGGATAGAAGTTGGGGTAGACAAGGTTCCGGAATTCATATTGGACATCTTTCAAACCGCGTATTTCACAGTGACCAATGTGGAGATGGCTTTACAATGGGGCAGTCTCATAGTCATGATGCTCTCCTTGAGCGCTCTGGTCACCTATCTTTGGAAATATCACGTCCAACAAGCAGAGGCAGAGATTCTTCAAAAAAATCGTCCGTTTAAATAAACGATCTTCTCGAATCGTTTTGATCGATAGTAAAAATAGGTACATGCGAAGGGAGTGTATCCAAGAAGAAAAACGAATTCTGAGGTAATGCAAATGAAAGAAATTAATTTTTGAAAGAAATTAATTTCTTAAACAGTTTAAGATATCTCTTAAATTTTCATCAAAAATGTTTTTTAAAGTATCGTGTTTGAGTCGATATTTCGTTGGAATAGAGAAGATATTATGTGAAAAACTTAGGTTTCCGTAAAATTATAAGCGGAATTTATAATAACATCTTGAGTGTAGAATTTAGTAACATTAATAATATTGTGCAATTAAAATAATGTACATTGCAAATTATATCAACCAATTTGATATATACAGAGAGATTTTGCTATTATTATTTATAGAAACAATTTCAATATAATAACAATCGATAAGTGACATGAAAATATCACTCTTCCGTGTTAAATTGATAATATCGCATTATGTTGGTCAATTTAATTGCCGAATGATTTGTTAGCGTTTACAAATCTAATTAGAATAATTTTCGTTTTTATCCATATCAAACATCTTAAAAAAATGACAAACAAAAATATTAGTCTCTACTTGTAAAGTTAGAGAGAGAACATTTTTTTCCTTCTTATATTGTAAAAAAATAAATAAAATAATGAAAATTAAAAAAAAGAACAAAATAAAATAAATATCTAAGCTAACTCTATAAATAATGTAATACGAAATCTCTTTTATTTATATGACTATTGCAGAATTACAACGAAAATATGTAATCGATCCAGTAAAATTGGACAAAAAATGTAAAGTTCAATCTCATGGACTTTATGCTCCTTGTTGATAGATTAGCATTTTTTACGATAAATTGACGTACCGCGTTGCATTGTGAAAATAAAGACATTCGCAACGCGGCCAAGTTATGATTAAGGTTTTAAGTGAATCGAAATTATATGTAATTATGTAGACGGCTGCAATCTGTCGCGACATTACATTTGTCGTGTTATTATCAAATAGTTGCCAACCGCAACAGTGTGTTATGTGCGACGATGTGTACTACCGATGTAATGAACAACCGTACTTAAAATTAAGTAGTGACACGTAGTAGTAGTACGTATTACATACGGCTATTCAATTAACTCGTTATCTTGACAGCGAGATACAAATAGGGTGTTTTAACATATCGCGTTATTTCGTTAATTGATATAGCATTATATGTAGAAAAATGTAGAAATGAAGAAATGAAGAAGAGAAAGAAGCGAGCTTTTGCTTGATCTGTATTCTTTTTACTCAATGTGTTGATATGAATAAAGTGTGTGTGTGTGTGTGTGTGTGTGTGTATATGTACATGTGTATGCGCGCGCGCGCGCGTGTGTGTGTTGTGTGTGTGTATTTGTATATAAATCATATATTGTTATAATGTCATATATGATTTTACTATAAATCAAAGGAAATATTTTATTCGATATCTTTATTTTTTGCAGTCATTTCTGATTTACGTATCAATGTTCGCAAATCGATCACTCGTGTTTTGAAGTTTTTTTTTTCTGCGATAGTAATTCAAACGAATTATTGTTGCTTGATTTATCAATTAATTCCGTGAACGTATTGAACTGTAATATATCGATGATCCTTGTAACAACATATTCCAAGAAGCAAAATGAAAAATACGGAAACATTTTATTTTTGCAAAAAAAAACTATCTCTTTCTGTATATGTGTTCTGCACATGTGTTACACTTATAAAAATATACTGTCGGCCGTCGTGTGTGTGGGCGATAATGCATACGTAATAATATTTATTGCACGTAACATATGCATGTCGCAATATGTCAGCATATGGTCTAAATGAGGTGGGAACGAAATGAAAATTGTAAACATTAAGTCGATATTTCACCATAAAATTAATTCTATTCGTATATTTTCCTCACCTGTTGCATTCTCATAAATTTTTAATTCCGTTCTTTTCTACAGAAAGAACAGAAGTTTGAGAAATTTTTACTTAAATTCCCAAAACGAAAGAGAGAAGAAACATATGTTTGAATAAAATAGTAAAAGGTTGAAGTTCCCAATTAAAAAAGAAATCTCTTCCCTCTCCATATCTCTCTTTCTTTCAGAAATTTAAATGAAAATGTGTATTTCTTTTGATACTCTATTTTTTTATATACGCACGCGATTTGGGAGTTAGTAAAATACATATCAAAAGAATACAATCATATAATGATTACACAGACACCAATAACCTAATTTTTCGCGCGTACGCACACAATTCATTTGGCATCTTTTGATTTCTATCGTACAAAAGTAATTTTTATTATATCTAATTATAATATATATCTACGTCGAATATATAATATTATTTATAATAATAATAATAAAATAATAGTAATACATGTACAAACGAAAATAACGAGAAATAGTATATTCTTGATAATTACAATTAGTAAACGATAACGGCCAAGTTCTATGTACAGAAAAAATTTCTGTCATTCTGATACGTCTTGATTACACAAACCTCGTATTGTAAAAACACTCGTGCAGTCCCGATTAAAGTCATGATTGTAGCTTGGCCTCGGGATGCTTGTCATGGACGGAATATCAATTTCATCTTCGAATTTTACCTCAGTAATTTATAGTGATAATTATCTGTATTGTCTTGCGCGAATAAACAGCGATGTAAAATATTTTGTAATGATTTCGACTGTGGAACAAAGAAAGCCGCTCATTAATATTAACAATTCAATTATAAAACGGTATATTGTGTCATCGTAAATTTCAATCACCAAGTTCTTCGGAAGAATGACATAACTCCGGTTTTTCATTTTCATAGAAAAATATTACACAGAGAAGCATTGTAGATAATCTTTGACGAAATTGTGATTTTTTTAAAAATAATATATAATAAAAAGATTTTAATAATTTAAGCTTTAGAGATGTATGAACAGGACGGAGTAATAAAACCTTGTTTTTTCGTTCATTTTACTAAATTTCTAATTTAGCAAAAGTGTCATTTATTTAAAAAAAAAATTTCTCATTAATAAATTTTTTTGGAAAGTCATTCTTTTACAGAAAAATATCACTAATTTGTCTCAATTGTGTTTCATGTGATAAAACATGTAATACTGAAACACTTGCTCCACAAATCTCGAATTTATTTGTACTTAAACGACTCATCCGTCTGTCAAAATATTTTCCCGAAGAATGGGAAAGAAAAAAAGAGAGCACACGCGCATAATGTAACACAAATAACACATTTGGCGTGTGAAGGGGCCGACAAAATTCGTGTCATTCTCTCTCTCTCTTTCTCTCTGTCTCGCAAAACTCAAGAAATTTGCCCATAACAAAACTAACCGAGAGATAAAACACATGCCCATCGTCTTATAAGATAAGCAAAATTTATCATACAAGTCCTCGCGCGAACTCGCGCGCGTTTATTATCGCGGGATAAGATTCAAGGCACTCGCGCACTCGTCGATTCCCTTCAATCACACGATATTTATTTATTTGACACGCGATTACTTGCTGAAGGCTAGATTCAACTGGCCAGTCTTGGTGCTGGTCGCATTCGGTGGCAACGGACTGCTAAGATGCAGCTTTTCCTGACGTTTGGCGGCGCGCGCTAAACACATAAAGGCTCCTAGCAAAACAATCGCGCCGATCGCAGCAAGGGCGCCGGAAACCGCAGCATGGGCCACCGGCGGCACATCCACCACCAATTTCAGCAAGGTGCGCATCTCTTGGGGTAGCTCGTCGACACACTGTACAAAAAAAAAAGAAGAATATTAAATCCGATTAGACGGATAATCAATTGATTATATTCGTTTTAAAGATCTCATCTCTCAAAGTCACGAATTTATATGTTGAATAACTTGCTAAGTTATTCGGAATTTTTATTATTCTCCTCGCCGTTAAATAATTTGCATATATATTTTTTCTCTGTAACTTTATTTTTATATTAAAACTCATCGTTAAAAGACATCGAAATATTTGAATCTCTTTATATAATTCAACATTTTATTAGCAAAGTTATATGTTAATGAAACAATTTGTAAGCGTGTGAAAATATAAATAGAAAAATTCTTCATTTATTTAAGGCAAGATATTTCGCGCAGAGTTGTCGTTTCAGGTAAAAAGATCGATTTTTGTCTTAACAAACATTTCGAAAATTTACCGAAGTAATTTTCACACATATAGAAATCTTTTTCAAATTCAAAATAATTATACTCGAGTCAGAAATTTCTTCGTTAATGTTGTATTGTGAGGGGACGCCGTTGAACTCTTTATTAGCAGAGTCGGAATACGAATTCCATTAATATGAATCATGAGCTAAAATGTGTGTGGTATTCTACGTGCATGGTATTCAAATGCACGTCGTTTCGATGTTACATCCGTGCAAATGGCGAACGGTAGGCACGTTCGCCATTGTCGTGGCAGACAAAAATAAAATTTTATCCATACGATCGGCTCGACGACGACAATTCGTAAGCAACGACATTCCTTTGTCAGTAACATATTGTAAATTAAGGATTTCATACTCACTCCAAAAAATATAATCAACAAAGAAATGATGTATGATGCGTATTTAAAAAAATAAAAACTTAAACTTTTCAAAGATTAAAAATAATATTATATTCCTAAATATTTTAATATGTATAAGTTCTGCTTTTTTAATGATAATTACGCATAATTATTTTTTATTTTACTTTTAGTTTCGTCATTTCAGTTTCTGGTAAATAGACATTTTACTCGCACATTTTTCTCTCACAATGTGAGATACTTATTCGCGCCGCGGTTTTTCTATTTATTTAATTAACATAATAATAGTTTAACATATTTAGTAACTATTACATTTGTGAATTTGCGAGCACATATAAAGAACGAATAACCTTCGTTTATGTTGATGTTCTCATTAGCATTATTACTAAAATTTATGCTACATTAGCAAGCTTAATGAAATGACGCGAATCGCGAACGTGCATTTTCTTAAGTAGTGCTTTTTTTCCAACATAATTATTAGCCGTAAAAAAGAGGTCGTTCCCACTTTCTGCTTTAATTTACCATTTAATTTTTTGTATCTACAATTTGATATATGAGCAATAGTCGCCGTGCTTTATGTTTGTTTGATATATTCATTATTATACAAGCTGATGTGTAATTATTTAGACAAAACATGTAATGATTCATATATAATCATCTTAGAAAAAAAGTATTATAAGAATTTGTAAAAATAATATAACATATATGACGTAGATTTTGCACTTCATTATAAATCACTGATCGATCATCTGATTATATATGATAATCAAGCAAGAAATTATCTACATACAATTGTAAGACACACACACACACACACACACATAATATGTATCAGTTAATAGATATATTAATGCGTGATATTACTGCGTGATGATAATTTTTTTATTATACGGTATTATTATTATTATTATTATTATTATTATTATTATTATTATTATATATAATTACTATTATTATAATATATATTAAAACGATGATGAACATCTGAAGATAATGGCTAGATGAAATAATTATTGTAATAGCTTCTGTATACTTACATCCTCGAACCACATAATGGGAAAAACGATGTCGGGAAACGAAGCGACCTGTTTGATGTCTCGCACTTGGCTAACCGCGAGATTTATCTGTATCCTCGCTCGTGCTTTCATAGCCGTGCCCATTATCGGTTGCACATCAATGTAAAGCTGATGTTTTTCGGCGTCTGGTGGCGATATGCCCGTCACAGCCTCTCGTAAAGTCTGATCGGCTAGAAGAAAACGAGATTAACCGGATAAATAATATGATGGAACCAATCTGAAGAGATATATCAATAAATAAAATAAATTACTATACAAAAAATTTTAATTATATTAAAATTGTAATTATATCATTATGTATAATCTCTCTTTCTTTAATTTATAATATTGAATTTATTATGAGAATGTTAAGACAATTGCTGTAATGCTATAAATTTTATCTATACCTATATATAAATAGGATCAATTTAGATATAAATTTTGCACTTTTATTTATTGCTATAAAGATATAATGCGTCGTAGTTGGCGTAAGTGGCTTAATCACATTAATCATATTTTAAGAATTGTATTGAAGATTCGTAATACCTTTCAACGCGTACATATAATGGCAATGATATTAACATAATGGAATCTATCAATCTTCCTAGTTTGAATTTTACAAATTTGATGTTATTCTTTCGCATTTATAATTAGGCGGTTTTATGTAAATTAAATGTTTATACAAGCGTTGGTATAAAATAATTATATTCAGTTTTGATAAAAAAAAACTTCAAAAGCCAAACTAACAAGAAAAAAATGTTACATCAAGTTCAAAAATCGTTTCTGAAATATTTTAATTTAGGATTTCTTGTTAATTTTAAGATTATTAGCATTAAATATTATATAAAATATAAATAACGTATTAAATATTGTATAAAAAATATTATGCAAAGAGAGAGAGAGAGAGAGAGAGAGAGAGAGAGAGAGAGAGATTTAAATTTCACTTGTTAGTAAGAGCATTTTTATGCTTGAAGTACATGGAACAAAATCTCGAGTTACTATCCTAAATTCAGAGCACTGAAAGTAAAAGTTGACAGCGTGAAAAATTCGCGCAATATATTCAGGCAAGAGAGAGCTCGTATAATATTTCGTGGGAGAATCATGGCATTCCGTGACGGATGCGTGACGGAGAAAAAGATTGTTTCTAAAAGAAGAAAAATAGGCCTCATAACAGACTATTCAATCGACTCCTATGTAGTTTTGCGAATCCAGAAACAGTAAGACACATCAATCGTTTACGAAACACTGGCTTAAACAATCTTAGTAAATCAGCTGATCGTTTGATTATTTATCTATGTAAAAAAAGAAAGAAAGACGAGATAGCGCGAGGAACGAGAATCGCGTGTTAATAGTATCCGATAGATTGATTATATTGGTAGTCGCAAACATCAAAAATAGTTGCGAAAAATATGACGCACGTTTTGCATAAGAAATAAATTTATCATGAAATATTAAAAATAATTAGCAAAGAAATACTTTATGTGCTACGGTTATGTAAGATAATATATTTTTCAAACGGCTATTCCTGATTGCGGAACGATATAAATTACGCGTAACGATCGGTTAGGCGACATGCGTCAGAGATTCTTGACATGATGTTATGTCAAGTATGAAATGATATGTGTATCGTGATTAAGGAAGTCTATATAGAGTCAAATCTTGATAATAATAACAATTATGACAAAAACAAGATGCGATATTTGTCATGCGTTAATTAACTATTCTGCGTTCTTTTGATATCTCATCCAGAATGAAAAATATTCTAACGAGCGATTGTAGCGATTAAGACTGGTTAAAAATAACTGAAATTTTTTTATTTTTATATAACCGATTTATATGCAATACGTTCTATTATTTATGTATCTGTTGTCCTTATGTTATATATTGTATATATTTATTATATATTTAGTATATATTATATATTTAATAAGAGATCGTTTTATCTTAATACTCACCAAGATAGAAATGCGGGAATGTAAGAAGAACTGGCGAATCGTACTGGCACTGGGAAACATTAAATGTGCCTTCTGGTGCACATGGTGGTCCAGCTGGACAGTAACATTTCTGTGACGGCAAATTCTTTTCCGACGTAAAGACATTCGTCGGAGGAGAAAATCTATAGCCGGGGACTCCTCCGGCAGCTATCACTTCACGCTAGAATATAAATTTTGAATTTTTGAAAGACAATCGCATTGAACCTGTAAATGTTCACACATTAAACTGATAATTCAAACTGGTTAAAAAAATTTAATATATAATTTAGACAATATAAAATAAAATAAAGCTACTTTTCTTTATACAAAGTTTAATTAATGTCGAGATATTGAAAGGAGAAGATCAGAAAATATTATTTTCTTGCTTTGATTTTGAAATCTTGAGAAAATTATTCATTAGATTACAATCTTCATCCGTTTCTGCTCGAATAATTAAAAGTGCTTGATAATAAAGTACAAACCTGAAAAACGAGCGGCAACGTCCTGCAGAGATCCTTATCGAAGACCTTGAGCACAGTCTTCTTAGTAATATGAGGCGGAAAGATACTGCCATCGGTGCCCATGATGGAGTCGCATTCTGGCGTGGTCCAGAAGCCGAGACCATCTTTGCCATTCCACCTGTCCATCATTCCGAATTTCGTGATATCGTTGGCACCTGTGAATATCGTGTATAGATCCGGCATGGTGGAGTTCTTGCCATAGAGCAGACCGAACTGATCGTATGGCAGTTTTTGCTCCTTGGGCACAACATCCTTGGCCAGTTTCAGCAGAGGGTCCTCATAACCCCAGAGTAGCTGCTCGACCGACACTTCGACGAATGGCTTGATCTTGAGAATGTCCATGATGGATGCCATTGCAAGTCGTAGAAAACGAGCAGCATGTTTCGATTGGGTAGTAGCCGACAGCATGGGAACATTTGGCACGACTACGAGATCATCTTGAGAACCGGCCGACAGATCCTAAGATTTTGTCGAAAAAAGAAAAAAAAATTTAATATCAATTTGCTTCAAAATTATTCTGAGAAAAAGAAATCTGATTAAATCGCTAAAGGCTTAATGGATCCGAGAGACTCGTAAAAAAATTAATAGACAATAAAAAGATTTTTTTGAAGAGTAAACGAAGAAAAACCAATGAAGAAGAAAAAAAATAAAGACTCTAATAATTAATACACACACACAATTAAAGATATAAATAAAATATAACAAAAAATAAAAAATAAAGCAAAATTATAATAAAATACAAAAGATAAAAAGAATATATAAAACTTATATATATATTTGTAAAGAAGCACAGAGGAAAACTCAGGCAGTGAATAAAAAATCTTCATGTAGACTATTATGTAAGCTAATAAAAAACTCTTCCGCATATTCATAAATATTCCGATTACGTTTTCTCGGAGCAAGAAAATGATCCGTGTTTTCTTTCTTTGTTACTGAGTTATGCATTAATGCACCTAGCTATATACTATAGAAGCGTTTCTCTGATGAATGTAGAAAGTCGCCACAGTGATTTCAATGCGCGAACAAGAATAGCTGTACAACTGAGATGGCGACGAGGAAAACATATCTATAGCTAATTGAAATGATGCGAAGGCGATAAGATGGATCGATTATCATGCAGCGCAACGCGGATTTGTTGGCTTTTCTTTAGTAATCGATATTCTCATATTTCTCAATAAAAAAGAACAATCAATAATCTTGCGTAATACATCCTGAGCGAGAAAAGCATTGAATGCCAATTGCGGACGTTATAAAATTATTAAAGCTTCTATATTTCTACCTCTCTATTTTGACATGTTTTAAAAATATTTGCATTATATATACGCCATTTATAATATAAATTAATATTTTAATATGCACATTAAATATGTATTAAAACATCAATGCGAACACAACTTTTTGTAGAGTAAAATACCGATCGCACACATACATACATGCACACAAATCTTAAAAGTAAAAGGTTGATTAATTAAATACATTGAAATGTGCATTCAAATTAGAATGAATACGTTATAAACTATGACATATGACAAGGTTTACCTCATCGAAAGTAAATGTTTTCTTGACTTTATAGCTAACGGTTCCATTGTCGTTGAATTTAATGTCGACTTTTTCCCAGTGCTGTAAATAAACGTACGGACCCAATTCTTGTAACGCTGGTTTCTCGCCATTGTTCAAAAACTCGTCAGCATTTGTTACATTATAGATGTAGATCTGCATCCGCGGTACCACCGGCGGTTTCTTCCAAAACTTGTACGTACGACCTCCCTCTTGTATCGCGAGCTCTTTATCGAGGACGAAATCGATGATATTCGGAAATAGTACCGCTAAAACGGCAGCCAGGATTATCAGCAAAGCTCCGATCGCAACGGCCGCCCCTGAAAAAAGAAAAGATGATAAAATGAATCAACAATCATGATAATGAATGATTAAAATATTTAAAATTTTTAATCGTGGAAATTAAAATATAAATTATAATAAGTATAAATTATTAGAATAAGTATAAGAGAAAAAATTTCAATGATTATAAAAAAATGTAAAATTTTTCCGAGATTTTTAAATAGATACATGTCCATACATTTATAAGATGAAGATAAAAAATTGGCAAACACAAGAACAAAGAAACGAATGAAATATATTTTGCGAAAGGATGAAGCAATGGAATTTCTATCAATTCTTTATTCCAATGTTTTTTTAAATCTTGCTTTTAATTTCCTATTCTGATGTATAGTAAATCTGAAATAATTGGCAAATAATTAATTTGATCAATGATTTTCTTTCATGGCTAACAAGAATAGTTACATCATGATCTTAGACTGAGGTCATCGACCTACTGATTCGATTAGCTAGAAGCCGAATGCAAAAGGAACAAGGTCAACCGGTTTTGAAAACCTTTAAGCGACGTCTCCTTGAAATGGTCGTCTCTTTTTTTTTTGATCTTCCACATGTTATGGTTATATCTTGAATAAATTTTATGTCCGTCATTATAAGCCTCTCGTCTAATTGTAAGAGCGAAACAATCGTCGAACCAGTTGTACAACACTTTGCGCTTTTCTTGTAAATCTTTATCCTTTGGCGATTCATTTCTCGCATGCACGGTATATTATTATTCACGCCATGTACTACATTTACACACTGCACTTAATGTTGCAGTTATTCATGATAAATAAGTTGCACGACTGTGATAAACCGAAAAGAGAAAGAAAGAATCGTTAAATCGAGAAATGAAGATATTAAATATGTAAAAGAGAGATCAACAACATATCGATAATATATAAAATATTATATTAATATTTATAAAATAATGTTTATATATTGTAGATATACAAAATAACATATTTAAAAATTATAATATATTTAATTCTCACTGGATCGACACACCAACTGCGAAAGGTCTAAAATATGATAGGTATATAATATATACATATATTATATATCTATTATAAGTGAAATGTATATAGTAATCTCATTGATTATACATCACGACATGTTATACAAGCCGACAATCGCGAGTTGCGAGAGATCTTTCACGTGCAGCTTACTTTCTTCGCGATAATATGTAAAGATCCGAGGAATCGGTCCCGTTGATGTGTCTCATCGAGATTGTTTTCCTCTTCATCTTCGACGTGAAATTACGAAATCACCCGCCCCCGCGGCATGCAAGCGGAAGAAAGCTGGCCGGCGCATCGATGCCATCGTGTTTCGCGGGCTCGCTTTCTAACAGCCGACTCGAAGTCGCATCCGCGCCTCGCGGAAGAAACACCAGGCTTCCTTCCCCTGGCTCTCCCATATATCCCGCAGACTTTTCTTTTCCGGCTTTCCACGCGAGCGCGCGTATTTATTTCACGCGCCCGCAAGGCATCTGAGTGTTTGTTTTTTCCTTTGCAAACGGCCATGTGCTTTTTTTATATATAAAACACAACATGTGAAATTGTATAAAAACATACATATATTTTAATATCGTTAAAGCAGATTATTTTAAGAAGTAAGCGGAATGTATAATTAATTAGTATTCTCAGAATTTAATTTAATGCTTGCGCGAAGTACAACTAATCAATTCTTGGAACACCAGATTATTCATTTTTCTCTTTTAAATATTTACCCTGATGTATATTATTCGATTCATGTTTATACCGATTATAAATTTTAATCATCCGATTACACGTCATTCAAAGATATAATAAAAACAGAAATTTTTTTTGTTTATCCATAAATCAGTCGATGAGCAACACCAATAAAAATAACAGCAGAAATCTTACGAACATTCTCTGAAGAGAATCAGAAAGAATGATGAAGATACTTCTTATCGCGCTTATTTTCCCCTGAAACCGCAATTCGTGCTAATACATAGCTGTTTCCTTGCTATCGCGTAAACTCGAGCGAGAAAATTTCTCTTATTCAGGAGCGTTACGACCGCGACCACGTTTTCGAGAGTACTTGACCTCCATTTCCCGCGAAGCGCCGCCTAACTTTATAAATGCACGATGTACAGTTACACAGAAGAAAAGGACATTTTTGTTTTGAAAATATATTTAGTTTTAACATGGAAATCTTAAAATGAGATTATATTGCATTAATTAAAGAAAAATATAATTGCTTGAATAATTGTTTACTTGAATGAAGCCATTTTATACAGTTCAATCAAGAAAAATATATTCTTATGATTTAAGATTTAATTTTCAAATGGAAAAGAAACAATGTTAGATAAAAAATTCGATAGAATATTTTTAAATCAAAGATTATAATTTTCTTAAAGTGGTATTAAATAATTATATATTGGGATAACAATTACAATATTGAAATAAGATTGTAATATTGTTGAAATTTAAAATTATTAAATTCTTCTAAGAAGATTATAAATTGTTGCGTATATACGAAACAATAAACGCGTTAATTTAAGTATATAAGTTTTGATTTAACACTTATTTTTTTTCTGTGTAAGTACATAATTCCGTAATTGCACCGATAAAACAATGTGTGTCGGTCATGCAAGTGACTAATCAAAGCTAAACTTATTGATACATACAATCTTATCCGGATATGTGTGTGATTAGATGCGATTATACAAATATTTAATTCTAAATATATATGTGGTACTTTTACACATATTGCATATCTGACACATGTGCGAGAAATTATACTTATATAAGCAATTACATATATATTTAATAGAAAATGTTATTAATAAAGAAAGTCCGAGAAAGAGATATCACATCCTAGTGTTGTACGTCGAAAAAATCGACCTCTCGATATTATTTCTCTCTCGATTACCGAAGAAACTTGATTACTAAAGTGCGTTTACGCAAGTGCGCTAAATTCAGAGTCGCGCGGCATTCCTGACCTGACAACTCCCGTCGGCGCGAAAACCAGTGTATGCGTAAAAATCGATGCCCGGTTCTCGGGATCTTGCGACACCACTTTATGTGCCACGTGCGAACGATCGTGCGGCAAAAAGTCATTACATTTTCAGTCACGTAGAATAAGATACTGCCCAAGACTACGGCCTTCGAAGCGGACGGTCTTATTTTGTAACGTGTTCGATAGAGACGATCGGGATCTGGAGAACGATCTTCAAGATGCAGCGCCGAAAAATCAAGATTAACACACGCAAGAGATTTTTTATTTTCAAGCGAGCGCAATAGCGTAAAATTTAAAATGTTAAATGTAAAATTTTGATAGCGCAAATATTTCGAAATTTTAAAATCATCCGCGATGTCAGAAGAGCGAATGAATGAAGAGGCGCGCGTATCATTAACCCATGGAGAAGGAATTGCACGATTCTCTCCGAGACATTGCGGATATTGCAACGCGCATAATTATCGATTGGCTTGCGCTGGCAAACAGAGAGGAGACGATTACAGACTATTCTTGGCGCTAAAGCTGACGAGCACGTTCTCGTTGACATCGTCGACGTCGGAAATTTTAACATCTTCTAAAATACGACACACATATATATTAAAATATATGTTATTCTCTTTGATTATTCTCGTCAAAGGATTTTTCGACACGGAGCAGCCTCGACATTTTTGTACGATTGCTGACCATCGACTTTGTTAGGAGGACATCATCATTTCGGTGCTGTCTGTTCATGGTCTTCGAATAAGGAATCTCGCCCCTCTATACGCAATGTTTGCGTATAGAGGGGCGAGTGTCCTTATTCGAAGACCATGAACAGGCAGCACCGAAATGATGATGTCCTCCTAACGAAGTCGATGGTCGGCAATCGTACACACGTATAGATTGCATGCGCAATAAGCGACCTCGTCGCTATGTAATAGCTTCGTTCTTATAAGAGAAAGGATGTCTTCGCATGACGGATTCGAATCGCACGAGACCAAACGAATACCTCGCAACGTCGACATGGAATTGCAATATTATGTATACATTTGGATAATACTTGTGAAATTTATAGTAATGTCCTACAAACTGTATCGTATATATTATTGTGTAATTTAATAAGATGGGTATTTTAATACATCGAATATCAAGAGATTTTTTTACTCATATTTGTGATAACTTGAATAAGCTTACGAAACATAAATCAATAATGTGCGTGCACTACACATGATTGAGTAACATAAATTAGATAAAAGAATCCATCCGATATATTTAAAAAATATTTTTAGTAGATTTGTGATGAGGAATATTATTCATGCTGTCAATGCTTAATCAATTTTTTCGAGAAATATCACATCACTACAGTTATATTGTTATATGCAAGGTTGTATCGATGTGTCAAGGTTATATTGATGTTAACAAGTATCTTTAAAAAGACGAAATTATCTTCGAAGGAGTTCTTGTTGCTAACATTAAAAAATAAGTTTCCTTTCGAAGATAATTTAATAGTAAAGGTCATATTTCCGGAAGTATGATATTTGTTCAAGTTATAATTAAGTTGGCAATGTGATTTCTTCAGAAAAAATATTTCGAGAAGGAAACAAATAAATTAAATGATAAATCTAAAAATTGTAAATTAATATAATCATTTAAGAGTAATATTTAGACGTAATACATGGAGAAGCATGATACGGCAAACGAAACGTGAGAACGAAACGAACTCTTGAAGCAAATATCACGACTTAGGAATCCGACCGATCCGAAGCGAGAATCGGCGATTTTAGGAACGGAAAATTAATTCCGTCTCTTCATGGCTCATCGAAGCTCGTATAAAAAATTCCTGCGCGTAATAACGAATTAATTATGCGAGACACAATGTATTTCGATTGACGTCATACGATTGACCTTACGATCACTATACACGGATGAAAATGCGATAATGTAGCTCACGGCTCCTTTTTTCAGCAGCCGTCATGGTCAATCGACTTTTTATAACAGATTAATTAAGATGACTGTATAACATCAACGAAAAGTATTATAA